TGTTCATTATTCAGGAGAGACATAAGATGGTGAGAGGAAGGGACAAGACAGGTTGTCTAAATTAGCAGCCATGGCAGTGAGAGGCCTATACGTTTAAGGCAGGGAATGCTAATTGCTACTGAAGATGTAGAATCAAGGTGGAAACATGAAGCAGGGTTAAGAAATTTCAGTTGTGGAGATCAGTGTAGGGTATGTAAAAAAAAAAAAAAAGAAAGAAAAAGTCATTGTGCTTGGTCTTGAAGGATGCAGGGTTATTGGGAAGAGGGATGAGGAAGGACAATGCAGGTTGATAGAACATACTGACAACAACAGTAAGATGGATCATCATATAAAGTTAGTTTTATTTGTGACATTTGTGTCTAAACAAATAACTCCAGAGAGGAGGAGCCAAGGAAATCTACTTGAATATATAATGGCCAGGGAGAGTAGGTTGTAAAGAGGTGGGATTAAACCACATACTATCCTTCTCTATTGAGAGATCCCTGGCTCCAAGGGGATGATACTCCATGACCAGCTGTGCGGTTGGGAGTTGTGTGAAACCTTGATGGTAAGGGGAATGGGTGCTGCCTGGATGATGTGCTGAGTTTCATTACCAAATTACTTGGAGAGACCTAGGAGTTAAAATATGATAGAAGGTAGATGACTTTAAGGAATTAAAAGAAAATCATATTTTAAGAATCAAGCTTGAATCTGTTGGTGTATTTACATCCAAAGTTATATTTAATGTTACAGATGTCGGTGTTTCTTCTCTGTACTAAAAATGGTAGAGGATAATATTTTGGGTGAATAAACAAGTTAAAGACATTCAAATCCTAGTATAAATGCTTAGAGCTGAAGGAAAGACCTGTGTTACATGATTTTTTTTGTGGAAGACCAGTGGTGTGTGCTTTTAATAAATGACATCATTTTACACATAATGCTTTTAAAACTTACCTTTCCCAATGGAAAAAAACCCCCACAAAAAACAACAATCAAATGTTTGGAAAAAGCCCGTGTTAGTACATATAGATTGAATGCATGTTTAATATATTAGTTTAGTTAGCCAACTCCCTACTGATCAATATTTATATTGTTTCCAATGGTCTACTTATAAAAATGCCACAATCAGCTTCTTTTCTATCCTTGTATGGGCCTTCTTCATGTGAATCCTTTCTTATTCCTTATAATTGGATAACCTTAAAATGCTGTAGACTCACCACATTTAATAGCAATGACCAACAATATCCATCAAAATTTCTCAAGCCATTTCTTTTGGTCAGTTCTAAAGGTTAGGTAATACTCGCTGTGATTTAGTCAAATACACCTGAGAAGTTGCTGAGACCCTATCCTTAACTTTGGAATGTGTTTTCTCTGTTCTTCTGCCCGCCTATTCTTAGGACTAGCTCTGTCCCTGGGTGCAGCTGGAGCAGGGCAGAGTGAGAACACTCTTTAAGAGACAAAGTCCATGATTCTCCCTCTAGTTATCCATCAGAGCTTTGTCTAGTATATCATGGGGAAAGACTTTATTTGGGATGAAGAAGTGGAATATCTTCTCTTTAGATTGTTATTATAACTGATTCTTTGTGATCCCATAACGTGGACCAATCCCTGAAGGATAGCAAAAGGTAGTTAAGTATAATTCACAGTTGAGTGATTGACCCATCGGCATTTCTTAGCAGTCCAGGAAGGAGTCAGACTATGATAGAGATTTTGTTGATAGGATTATTACTGCAGCAAGGTAAGACTTCCTTGATACCTGGTATAAAAACAAAAAGCCTTTATGTTTTACTAGGACTTTAACAAAAGAGTGGGCACCGAATGTAGTGGGGCGAATCTGTTGGAATCAGAAGAATGCAAATATCCAAGTGAGAGCACAATGGTTCTCTGTTTTGATAGTGTTGAACTTGCCAAGTTCATCTTTGTATCACAGAGTTAGCTGCCCTCGATGACAGGGATGCTTTGTTTTAGAACACAGGACAAGTATTTAAAGGTTTCTTGAATATATCACTAACAATTCTACCCAATAACTTCTTGGTATAATTTTGACATTCTTCACAAACATTCTTATTTAACTCTCACAACGATGCTGACCCAGCAGGATAAGCAGTGTTATGGATTAGCCAGATTAGATGGCTTGTCATGGCCAAAACACAACCCAAATCTGTCTTCATATCCATCAGTTCCCTATCTGCTGCCTTCTAAAAAAAGTCCTACATTGAGACAGAGACACATATTTACACAGGAGCCAGAGGAAGCCCGGGGAATTTTGAGGTGTGCTGTGAAATTGCATACTGCTTATCTTTTGCTATTTGACTATCCGTAGGGCTGTAAGCTTACACAGATCTCTCATAGAGGCGTCCAGGTACTGTAAGTCAACTACTGCTTGGTCTTTGCCCCTTGTTCTGTGAGATGAAGAAGGCCTCAGGTGCATTTGGCTCGGTGAGGCTCAGAAGCACTTGTATTTGCTACGTGTGTTAAAAAAAGGCTGTTTTGTGTGTGTGTTCCCTATCAGAATTGAGTTCCCTGCCTGCTCTGTTTTCAGACATCAAGCCTTATTTTGGTGTGTTTTTCTAACTCTGTTTCCCAAACATGTTTGATTGTCAGAATCACCTAAGGAGCTCTGATTTCTATCATCAGGCAAGCTTAGGAAACCTTAGCCTGATCCATTAGACCTTTCTCTCAGAGTTTAATTATTGAATCCTGTCAAGAACCAAGAACCATAGTGTGTTCCTGCAAGCACTTGGTGTGCGTCCTGCATTGCTCTCGGCAATAAAGGAAATGAAACAACAAAGAAGTTAGCAGACAGGCATTCAATTCCTAAGGATCCTTTCTAAAATCAGGAGAGACTCAGCAAGTGTTGTGCATTTGAATAATACTGACTCATTATTTCAACAATGATTTGAGTGCGTACTATGTGCCAGGCATTTGTGCTAGGTGCTGGGATATACAGCTGTGAACGAGGCAACTAACATTTTTGGAAGTCCTTATGGGATGGATACCAGGCTAACTGCTTCACACACTTTTTCTGATTTAAACTTCACAACTCTGCCTGAGGTAGGTATTATCACCTTCATTTTGAAATTAAGAAACTGTTACTTTGAAACTTTGAACGTCTTGGCCAAAGTCTCAGATCCAGTAGCACCGATCTCGTGACATCCAGAATTAACACCCGGTCTGTCAGATTCCACAGCTCATGGTCCTTATCCCACAGATCTTCTGCTTTATCTCAGTATACTCGTCTCTTTACTCCTCCCTTTCTACTTCAAACCTGGCTACATGTTAGAATTGCCTGGGGAGCTTTTAGAAAGTACCTTTGCCTGAGCTTCACGTAAATAAATTAAATGAGAATATTTCATGGGGCCATTTCGTAAAAGCTCTCCGGGTGAGGCCAATGTGCAGTGATGGTGGAGAACCACTCAGCATCAAATAGACACGGATGTGGCCAGACCAATAGTTTCCAGCATTCATCTTGGGTCATTTGGTTGATTAAACGTTTAAAGGCTCCAAGTTATTTTTCTTTCCTTTTAGTTGAACTGAAAGTAGTAAAAAATATAGCAAATATTTTAATAAGGCAAAAGTTTCCCCCAAGAGCGACATGGTAATAGACCCATTTAAAGAGGAATTCAGAAACTTGGAGATCTTTTTGCAGGGGTAGCTAGTCTAGAGTGAGTGATGAGAAGTAACCCAGGCTCTGGATTTCTCTTTTCTGCTGAGAACCAGAGAACCTGAAAACTCTTATTCTGATGGGGGAACAAACTTTGAGACCATGGTGCTTCAAGAAAATTTCCTTTACCCTTGGTGAGAAAGGCATAAATCAACTTATTTTTCTCGAGGTCCAAGCGAAAGAAAAATAAAAGCTAAATAGTTTCAATCTTGCTGATTTGGATGTGTTAATATATGTACTCTAGACTAATTTTATTTTGAAAAAAATACTCTAAATGATAGAATAGATATCTATTTTTCTTCAAGCTGTTTGAAAACTCTTAATTGCTCAAGCAATGCATGTGTATATACTATATAAAATTTTAAGTTAAGAATTCTGTATTTCAGGCTTTCAGCACTCTGTAAAACATCTGCAATGTGGTGGTAATGTCTTGCTTTGTGAAAATGGCAATCTAATTAATTATTGACTCCACTAATTAAATCTCATTTTGCTGGTCTTCAACGAATGAACTGTGACTGGCCTCCTAAGAGAAGTTCTTTTCAAAGCATATGTATCAAATATTAAGAGTAATCACAAGTTGAAGTAATCACAAAGTTGTGGTCTATAAAACTCCTAGAAAGAGAAAGACAGGGAAAGTAAATTTGGGGTCACTGTATTTCAACAAGTTGGAGGCACTTTTGTGAGAAGAAAAAAAATCAAGGCTCCAGGAGAGGGAAGACTTTTTTAAACTAATGGGTCTTTAAAGAAAGAAAGAATAATGACTGCTACTTTACTAACTTAAGGGTGAGTCTTATCTCTGCATTTTAAAACCCAGCCATCAATGCTGATAGGATAGTTGGATCATAAATTTCCATTACAGATGAGTAAGTTATGACCATTACTTAAAAGAAACATTACCCAGAACAAAGTAAACAGAGGAAAAAGAAAAACATGAAAAATGGCCTCCTTTTTTACATTTCCACATAGGTGATCTCCATACCAGGAGTTGAACTTGAACTTGGTTGGGCGGGAGACGGACCTGGTTGGGCGGGAGACTGGAGCCCCTCAGAGAATTTGGGATTCTTCCATTTTTACTGGGAGGGTTGGCAGGTATAACATGTGTTGTTATGTGAGTCCATGAGAGCCTCCAGGGTTCTAACTCCCTGCCTCTCCGTGTGGTGGGGAGTCAGTTGCTCACTCTGAAGCACTCGACTGATTTCTGTCTGTGGCTTACCCATGCACAGTGGCTTGGAAGTGTCAAAGCATGAGAAGCATGCAATCCAACAGCATGTGCTGCCGTCACCTTCTACATGGTTCTGCATGGGAAACCTCGGGGGCTGTCTGCCCCGAGCTCAGGTCTGTCCTTCTCTCCTCACAGAACTCGCTGAAGGCTTCCAATCGTAAGAAGAAGAGAACGAGCTTTAAAAGAAAAGCCAGTAAAAGGGGAACTGAAGTAAGTGTTTCAGGATCATGGTCCAATGAAATCCATCCTCTTTCCATAGCCTGCCCAAGCTTGTTGTTTTGATATGTCTCCCACTCTTTTCTCCTTCACTGTACTCTAACATGTGGAATTCTTAGTATTCTAAAAAATATAACCTCTGCCACTTCACAGAGCATCTGCACTTGTCCATGGAAGTGTTATCCTAAAGATGATAAAGAGCTAACACTTCCAGAATGCTTAGGGTATACAGAATAAAACCAAAAGCATGGCTCAATTCTCAGCAAATTATACCTTGAGAAACTTTCTTCTAAGCTTTACACAGAGTGTCCTATTAAGAATAAACCCAATGAAACAAGTTGTACCTTGTGGGGGTATTTTTGTTTGTTTTGTTTGTTTTTTTGCAAGGGTTGGGGTGGTGCTGGCGGTTTCTCACTCCAATTGCTTTGGGGCTGCCTGTCAAGTCATGGATGTGCATCTTAGTTGTGCTGTTTTCTTCCTTCAGCAGGAAAACAAAGGTCGTCCTTTTGTGATAAAACCTATCTCTTCTCCTCTCATGAAACCCTTGCTTGTGTTTGTGAACCCCAAGAGTGGAGGCAACCAGGTGAGTCATTGTTGGTGAGTTTAACTAGGAAGCTGCAATGCTTTCTTAAAAACACAATTCCCAACACCGCAGCGGTTCTCAACCTGTGGGTTGCGACCCCTTTGGGGGTCCAACGACCCTTTCACAGGGGTCGCCTAAGACCATCGGAAAACACATATATAATTACACATATATAATATTGTTTTGTGATTAATCACTATCCTTTAATTATGTTCAATTTATAACAATGAAATTGGGGGTCACCACAACATGAAGAACTGTATTAAAGGGTCGCGGCATTAGGAAGGTTGAGAACCACTGGGGTAAAAGAACACCACCTAGGGCCCCTAGCATTAGAAGACAACCATTTTCTCAGGGACAAGGTTGGGGCATTAAACAAAGCTAATGTGGTTGGCTCCATGATTTTGGCCACCTGAGCACCACATGCCCACTATGTTTCATGATGGCAGTCATTGTGTAAAATGCACTTGGGAAATCATGACCAGCTTTGTTTCTAGGGCATACAGACGCTCACAGGCGATCCATGCCTTTGAGTCCAGTAAAGAGGGAGCCCGCTCTGTATAAATAATTAATGGCAGGGACTTCAGAGATGATCTGATGTTGCTTCCTATTTCACTAATTACAAAAGAGCTCAAGGAAGCTTAAGTGAATTTCCTAAGGACATCTTGTCTGTTAATGACATAAAAGGGGCAATGGGAAGAATAATTCAGACAACATTAATTACATGTGAGTTCTAAATTGAGTGGATCAGACTACAAGTGCTACAGGTTTTAGAGGCAAGCAGTGACTTGGGAGTGATAAGGAAATGGTGTCATGGAAGTAGCTGAAACAGAAGATGGACATACTTAGTTAGGCAGAGGGGAGAGAGCTGGAACAATGCCCTGCTCCTCTTTACTGTGGCAAATCCCTGTTTATCCTCTAAGGCTCAAGAGCACCTTTCTGATCCCTTTCTCAGACTTGACTGTGCTGTGCATTATGCCCCTGTAGCCCTGGGCACTCTGTCAATTGCAACATAGGCATTCTCTGTAGGTTTATACATTGAAAGTACAGGCCTCATAATAAATACCAGGGGCTGTACCTTTGAACCTATGATTTCTAGTATATGGTATATACTGGTGAACAATAATTATACAAGAATAAACAATATTAATGAAAGAATGGATGTTGTGATAAAATGATTTGTTTTGAGGACTGTATGGTGAGTGGAGCATGCATATGATTAAAATATGTTAGGTAGAGATTAGAATGAGCCAGGACCAGTGTCTTAAAACTTGGATGAGGATTTTGGATGTGTACCAGGAAATAGTTTTTTTTTAATTTAAAATATTTTTAAAATTTGAACAAAAGAGTAATATGATGAAAGCATCTTTAAGGAATTAATTTGATCCATTGAGAATGTGTACATCAGGAAGCTATTCACATAAACGTAAGCATAACTTGGAAAGATGGATTGGTGAGTGGATGGGTGGATGGATGGCTAATAGATGAATGCATGGATGGTTGGTGAGTGGGTGGGGGGACAGATGGACTAGTGGATGACATGTGGATGGACAGATGAATGAATGGAATCCATAAAGGGAAGTAAAGCATCAAGATTGTACAGCGGATCATCTAACAGTGGCTTTGTTATTGATGAGCATTCAGGAAAGGAAAGCATTATTGGGAAAGAGGTAGAGATGTGTTTGAGGAACTTGAGGTCACAGGGAGATATTAAAAAATGTTTAAAGTGCCCAGTTATTAGAGACAAAAGACTTATGATGTCATTTAATGCATTTTGGCTTGTAAATGTAATACTCTAAGGATGTTACTTCTAGAATGGCTGGGATTCTCAGAAGGATGGCTAACCAAGTAAAAGTGAATATTACATAAATTTAAATATCTATATACTTTCTATTTAAAATAGAATTCTGTATTAAGCCTAAGAAATACAAAGAACCTTGTTTCTAAGCACAATGTGAAATGTTGATAAAACTATGAATAAATCCAATCACTTATGTACAATTGGAATCATTCACACTGACCTCCAGCACAGTATGTTTGTGATTTCATCTTCAGTGAGGAAGGCACAGCTTGACCCCCTGACTGCAAGTAGGGCAGAGTCCTGGTTGGAGATGAACTAACTCCTCTGTTAGGGCTAGTCTTTCCCTGAACTTCGGCTATGACACACCCTTAACTTTGCTGATGAGGGTAGATTTCCCCACAAATTGGGAATCAGAGGTTAGGTTCTCCACCCTACACAGTACCCTAGGTAGCTTTAAAAAAACTAGTGATGGCTTAGTAATTAAATTAGAAGCTGTGAGAGTAGGATTCCTTGACTGGTATAAACTCTCCTGTTTATTTTCTTATGGAACCAATGTTGAGAGCCTCGGACCCTCTGATCAAGCTTGAATATACATATGAATCGCTTGGGGATCAGGTTAAAATGCAGACTCTGACTTGGAGTCAGCCAGTGGCCCTGAAATTATGCTTTTCCAACCAGCTATCAGGTTGTGCTGTTGCTGCTGCTGAGAGCACACTGACCAGCGAGGGCTCACGGCAGTCCATACAGAAATACGTGGTTGTTGTTGTTAAATCCTGATTCTTGCCTTTTAGCCATGACTTACTCTACTCATCTGCCTCTGCATATAAAGCACTCCCCACTCTTGCTCTTCTGTTCTTGAGGCTTAGGCTTCTAACTTAAAAAACAAACCCAAAACTGGCTTAGGCTTCTGTTCTTTATATAACTAGACTATATCGCCATCTTCTGGCAAGTAAAATACCTACAACTTTTTTTCTTCCTATAGTAAATTGTGTGGACAGAAAGTTTCTAACACTTTGTTGGAACTTAGTTAGATGACCACATATGGGGATTAAGCACTTCTATGTATTTTAAACAATTCTGTCTTTTAAACAGATGCTTCACAATAATTGTCAGTTTTTCTTTTTTTTTTTATAGCATTTTTGTGATTTTTTTTTGAGCCAAACTGATAATTGCCAAGACACAAAATCCTAACGGACTGAGAAAATGCTCCCTATTTTTCTGTTTTTCTAACACTTAAGGTGGAGAAAATGCTGCATTTTTAAAAAGATTTAGAAGTTTTCAGCACTGTTATCATTGTTGGGGTCTGCACTATCGGAGGGGACAGGCGGTGGAATCAGGGCCACAGTATCCACCCTACATGTGTCCTGTGCACAAGAGGTGGCAGAGGGAAGATAAAGTTTACTCCCGCACAGTCCCCTCCTCTGCATGGAAACCCAAGGGTTTCAGAAATGAACACTCTCTCTTACACTCATCTCTGCGTTAACTTCAAATCGGATTCTTTTTCTTGGGTGTCTCTGAGTCATTAACATCTTTCTACCTGAGTCGTATGGATCCTTCTGATACCTCTCGATGTTTCCTGCTTTTGCACCATCTCTCCCTCATGCTCTCATCTTCCAGTGATGTAGGTTGTAAGTTCAGGGTTAAGCAGGTGCTCTGACCACTAGGGTGATTCTAGCTAGTCAGTCCTGAGAGGTGAGGGGTCCAGACCCTGGTTTCCAAACGGTTCCATGTGAAATCCTCAGGTCAGGGTGTGGCATGAGTTGGCCCTTTAGATTGGAGCTCCCGGGGAACTTGTAGGAAGGGGTGTTCAGTCTGTGGGCAGGCTCATCCTGACCAAGTTCTCACCACCATCTGTGGACAAGCTTCCCCAGACCGAGCCACCCCCAGACCAGGACTGCCCCTTCTACATAAGTCAACCAAAGTGGGGAGAATGAGGAGACAAAAAATATCAATAACTTCAAATATTTGAGCCCCAAACTGTTTTTAAATACTCAAACAACCTCAATGAAAATGGTATGTTCTGCAATGCTCAAGCTGGGGATAAATCAAGAATCATTATGCTTAGATAAAATTAGAGCCTCCTAAAGCTTAGGATAGGCTGGGAAGAGGGCAGAAGGGCAATCAGTCGATGATGGCACATGTCAGAATTCTGTCTCAGATCTTCTTGTCAAGCCAGCTAAACAGATGGAATTGAAACAACCAAACAATGAATCTGTGGAAAGCCCCCTTTTCCCCAAGTCACAATATTGGTGGGAATGTGAGGGCAGCTGTCTTAGTCAGTTCGGCCTGTGAAGCCGAGTACCACAGACTGGGTGGCTGATAAACAACAGACATTTATTTCTCACAGTTCTGGAGGCTGGGAAGTCCAAGATCAAAGCCCCAGCCAGCTTGGTGTCTGGTGAGAACTCACTTCCTGATTGACAGACAGCGTCTTCCTACTGTGTCCTCATGTGGCATTTGGGAGGAAGGAGCTCTCTGGGGTCTCTCCTGTAAGGGCACTAATCTCCATCCTCATGACCTAAGCACCTCCCAAATGCCTCACCTCCTAATACATCAGCTTGAGCGGTAGGATTTCACCCTATGAATTTTGGAGGAACACATTCAGTCCACAGCAGTGGCCAAGAAGACTCAAACCAAGTCATCTAGCCCCTTTGATAGATCTAGAGCCTGGATGTCTAGCTCCTTAGTCTGTAGCCAGACAAATGTATCAAAATGTAAGTCCACCCCCCCCCCCCCAATTAAAACATTTCAGTGACTCTTACCTTTTGTTAAAAAAAAGCCCAAGCTCCTTAGTGTACATGACCTAGTGTACAAGTCAGGCTGTTTTGTTTCCCGAAACCCCTGCCTCATGACTCAAAGACTGAATGGAACATAGTTTTTCTATGGTGTGTCTTTATCCTAAGACTTCTTCCTCTACTCATCTTTCAAGACAAAGTCTAAGTATCATATGTAGGTAGCCTTCGCCTAATCCAGTGGTTTTCAACCTGTGGGTCGTGACCCCTTTGGTCCAACGATCCTTTCACAGGGGTTGCCTAAGACCATCGAAAAACACATATATAATTACATATTGTTTTTGTGATTAATCACTATGCTTTAATTATGTTCAATTTGTAACAATGAAATTGGGGGTCACCACAACATGAGGAACTTGTATTAAAGGGTCGCGGCATTAGGAAGGTTGAGAACCACTGGCCTAATCCCAAAATTGAGGCTTAGAGTATCTCTGGCCTCTCATACTGGTCAGTAGGCATCTCTACCATCACACTTACCATATTTTTTAAAAATATCTTTTTATTGATTTTTAGAGAGAGAAGAGAAATAATGTCCATTAGTTGCCTCCTGCATGCTCCCCACAGGGGATTGAGGTATCGAACTGTGACCTCTTGGTTCCTGGGTCAATGCTCAACCGCTGAGCTACACCGGCCAGGTGCATTTTCCATCTTTAATGATAATATTGATCTCCTCCTGAGATCTTGGGTGTCCATGTGGGCACAGAACAGGAGCCAAATGTTCTTTTTATGAAGTAAATTAGGTATTTCTTTGGGATGGTTTGAAGCCAGTTTCAAGTACTTATTTCTTAACCTCTTCCTTCCACTCCCTTTTATTTTCCTTGGGCCTTTCTTATTATGTGGACAGTTTTTTCCATGATCATGATAATAACTCTGAGATAACACCTGTGATAATAGCTCCGTGACAAGGCTCCCTGAGTAACATCCCAATGTTTCCGCCTACGTGAGAATGACAGTGTTTTCATGAAGATTGATGTGCTGTTTGAGCTGACCCATCCTTAACTGCTGATCCATACTCCCAAGTCATTGTATTTTAATTTATGAATAAAGTATAAAACTTCCTCTTGAGGCAAAGATCTTCTCTGTCTAGTCCATCTTTCTGTTTCCTCACATAAAACCGAACCCCGCACATAGTGGGTGAGTGGCTGAAACCTGTTAATTTCCCTCGAGAAACAATCTACCCATATTCTGGAAAGTCGTTTTCTCTTCTCCCACCCTGTTCCCCAAGACCAGGAGCTGGAAAGAACATTTTTATCGCTCCAGGGAAATACCCAATATCACAATATCTTAAAAAATTCTATGGCCAGTGAGGTATTACATCTACAACTGTGTATGAGGACTCTCTCCAGAGTGTATTGGAATTAACTTGTAAGCTATTTTCTCACTTAGAGAAAACTAGACCCGCACAAAAGTTGCACATCTTTTGCATTTGGCACATTGAGACTTGTTAGTGAATGACAGTTGTGTGAATAACTTAGTATATTTAATACTGACAGTGAGAAAGCAATAAATTGATCTTTTCCTGGTGAATTCGTATTTGTCAAACCATTCCGTTCTATTGAACAAATTGCCTCTATTAAAGCCCGAAAGTAGGTTATCCTAGAGTTAATAGCAGAGTTAATAGAGCTGACTTAATGTCTGTTAGATCTTTTTACTACACACCCACCAGGACTGATTTAAAACAGTGCAATGCTTTCATTCAGACACATCATTTTTTTGCTGATTATGTTGTAGAAAGATTACTTTTGAAAGAAGAAATTATATAATGACTGAATGTAATGTAAGAAGGCCATGCAAGTTATCCCCGCACAACTGCAGAGGGCATTATTCTAATGGGCTCTAATGTCAATGGCGCCTCCTAGAGGTGTGCAGTGCAAAATTTGTCAGCCTTAATACCCCTTCCTCAAAAGGATAAATGGAGACACTTAGGTGTTCCAACTAACACAAATTGAAAATGAGCAAAAACAAAACGGTGTCACTCAAACTTTCTAGAGAAATTTTAGGTGAAGAAAATAACCTCTAAATGCTTTATTATTTTATTTCTTAGAAGTTATTAATTACCTAGTATTGTATGCATAGGAGAAGAAGCTGAAATTGAGACATGCACTCGACCATAGCCATAGGTGGAAAAGAGTAATTAACATCTACAACTCATATTGCTCTAGGGATCTAAAGCTGAAAAATTAATTTTCTAGCAAGTCATTAGGAAATTTTTTTGTAAATTGGTTTGTCATTAAAATGACTCTTAAACAGAAAAGTTTACTTGGGATAATCCTCAACGGACTTGATACCAAGGCGCAGTGTGGAAAGAAAAATACATAGTTGGCATTATGTAGCTAAACCTATGTCTGAATTTTACACGAAGCAAACTATGTCCTTTGGTGAAACGGCAGGATTAGTTGTAATAATCAAGGGGAAAATGTTATTACTAAATTTATAGCAAGCACATGATGAAGCAGAACTTTTAAATTATAGGTTTGGATGAAATTGGGACAAAAGACCTGCATTGGCCTCTGTAACAACTGGTGTAAGAGTGTGATAATTATCAACTACACTCTAGCTCTCACACCCTCAAGTGTATTTACTGAATAGATTAGCAGGGAGCAAAAAAGAAAGGGACTAACATTTACAACAGGCCTATTTTGTGCCACATACTGTGCAAGATACATAACTATTACTGATTCATTTAATTCTCATAATCACCCGAAAAAGTACACGTTGTTCTTCTACTTTATATGCTGAATTTCTGTAGGGTTATAAATGCTCATGCTCACCCACTTAGAACACCCAAGTTATTTTTTAACTCAAATATTGTGCTAGTTCTACCATACTAGGATAACCCTCAAATACAGCATAGTAGGTGTAAAACCTAGGGTTATTTTGAGAAAGAGCAACCACGATATTTAATGAAGGAACTATAATTGTAAGCAACAAACTCTGCCTACTGATCCAATATTATTTGCTGTGGTTGATAATGATCTAAGTAAGGCACCTTTCCCATTTTGAAAGCTCTTTGGATGCTGCTTAATAAAAAGATTCCTCATTTCTTCTTTACTCAATTCACTTCAAGAAATTATCTTTAGAAATGCCTTGTATTGGTCATGATGATCATTTCTATAAATGTCACATTTACACTTCAAACTTTCCCAAAATGTTCATGTGTGACAGAAATGTTTGGTTTGGACAAAGAGTTAGAGGCGTGGAAATTTAAAAATGTCAAATAAGCTTTGATACCACTAACTGGAGAAGGTATATATGTGTAGTCTAAGTAACGGGAAGCCTGTGATACTTTTGCTTCAGTTAAAATTTTTTTCAATAAAGTCATACTTAGCTGATACTGCCCATATTTCATATTATGCAAAGACAATAGCAATCTGCACATTAAAGTAAAAATTAATGTTAAATTACATAGCTGACTAATCTTCCCCGCGTGGATTTTCATACATTTAGTAATGATGGTAAAACTAATAGATAATATCTATGGGGCACTTATTGCAGGAGAAACACTGTAATGTGCTCCTCAAACAGCATGGCATTTTATCCTTGAAACAAGTCTGTGAACTAGGCATCCTTGTCTCCACACTAAAGAGGAGGGAGGTGAGCTTAACGAAATTAAGGAACTTGCCGGAGTTATACCGGGAAGGCTGATGTCTAATCTGGGCATTGGCCAAAGACCATGATTTTAACTATGGCTCTAATTTGTTTATAAGTAGGTATTATTTTAGATAATGGGTTTTATTTTTTAAATAAGCAGCTAATATTTGGAAGTTTCTTCCCACTATAGTCATATTTTTTTTTTCTTATAGGGAACCAAAGTCCTGCAGATGTTCATGTGGTACCTGAATCCACGGCAAGTCTTTGATCTTTCTCAGGAAGGGCCGAAAGATGCGTAAGTCTGGAAATACCCTCCATGGTCCATACTCTCTTAGGCAAGTGAGAAGGACTTCCTGCTCTGGCATCAAGCTTCGTTATTCGGTTGCCTTGTGAGACATTTTCTAACTGTCTCTCACCTACCTTCTCATCTGTACTGTCCTCCCCTTAAAACTCTCTCTCATGTTCCCCCTCGCACTCTTCCTGGGGTTAATTCCCTTCAGAGCACATTTCACAGTTGTTATCTCAGTGAGCATTTTTTATGTGTTTGCTGCGTGTATATGCGCAACTATAGATTATGAACAAGCCTGGGAATGGAGAGGATCCATCACTATTCTGTTTATGCATGAGCAACTTTGGACGTGTACATTAATGGGAATGTCAGTGTGTCTCTGTGGGCAGGGGCCATATTTGTTTATGAATACATTCATATACATTTGAATTAGATCATTCCATCTTGGAGAGATTGATTCATTGATTATACCTGTGGATTTCACATCAGAATGGGGGGAGACATTTTAATTTCTGCTCAATCCCTTTTCTGAGCTTCTCAGAAATTTTACGCACTGTTTTTTGTTAGAAGTGTTGAACATCAAGTCTAGATGTAGGTGACGTGTATCTTATTTCTTCCCGTTGGCGGAGGGAAAGAGTGGGGACATTGTGCTGCTTTCTGATTCCCTTTTTAAATCCATCTAGTAAGACAGAATGGGTTTCATCTGATAAAGCTTATAACTTAAGAGATACTAATTCTTTTTAAGTGAGAAAGTAACTACCAGCAGCAAACCTCAGCTTCTGATACCAGCGACCTGATAGGGATCTGCTATCTGTAATGAAGTTTGTTTTCCTTTGCTTTTGACCCTGTGTACGGTTATGATGCCAGATTAAATTTACAGCAGCTTCACGTTGTGTTGTGATATTTTGTTTTTCATAATACAGTTGTAAAATATATTTTGTTCTCTAAAAACACATCAGCTTAATTTCTAGAGAAATAATATTCCTATAGGAAGAGGGTACATTACGTATATTTAAGCATGGAGAAGAACGTTAAATATGAAAATTTCTGCTTACATTCTCTTAATCTATGAACATTTTTGCCACTAGAGGGTACTATGAGACTTCTCTATGTTTTTCTGTATTTGGATTTGCAAATCTGGTAACCTGGCTTTTGCCCTTTTAGATGTTTACTTAAGATTTCACCACTTTAGACTTTAGGTGGACACTTCATAGATCAGCATAAAGAACATGGAAAGACAGGAAGTAGTTCCAGGAACAGATAGTATTTGATTTAAATAGCTGATACTTTCTGGAACGGAGCCATTAACAGCTTCACTTAGGCAAACATTTTAGCAGGCAGGGTGGTAACACTGCATTTTCTTAAGAGCCAACATGAAAAACAAAATGATCTAATTTTAGGCAGGCCAATTTAAACTAAAGAAAAAATCAGTAAATCTCCCTCTTTAAACTGAGGTGTATAAACGGGGTCTGACTGTGAGTGAGGTGAGAGGTAGATGTAACTGTGGGTGCGACAGTAATGCTAGTGGGGTGCCCTCCCCTGCCTCTCTGAACAAGGTTTCCCAGGATTAAGAGTGGGAAGGTTAGGTTTGAAAATAAATAGATCCAATAAAATATAAGGAGGAGATATAGAAGGCCTTTTGATTGCCAATTAATGATGGTTTTCTTTGAGAAAGGAAAGGGGAGAATGATGGGAAAAGAATAAACCGAAAGGAAGTCAAACCAGTGAGGAAAATAATGAGCTGACACATTAGTAGGGATTATGGGGTAAGAATCTCTAGGACATCCTAAAATCCCCTTCCAGTGCTGGCTATTTAGAAATGATGCTTGCTGCCAGCCTCTGATCCAGGTGCTGGGAGTCAGTCCTCCTGTGATTACTTGGTAACTAGTTTTGATGATCTCATTATAGTCATGATTATACATTTTCTACAGGGGATACCCTTCATTTTTGCCATGTGTTTTCTCTCTGCTATGGCAAGTGATGTGCTCTTCTGTTAACTTTTTCTTCTATTTCCTCTGCAGGCTTGAATTGTATAGGAAAGTACCAAATCTGCGAATTCTGGCCTGTGGTGGGGATGGAACGGTAGGTCCTCGAAATAGAATCCAGTTCTCGCCCTTATTTCTTTCATCTTTCTTTTGTTTTCCTTATGACAGTTCTCTTAAATTCATTCCCACCTCACAGTCTTTCCAACCCCCTGAAACATGTGTCTCTCTCATGTGAACCATGGGCTATAAGGTTAGAAGGGACTCTGTTATTAGTCTCATGGATTCAAATGGGATTTTTCTAAATTGTTTCACTTCCTCAACTCTACCATATCCTTCTCTGTTCTGTGAGGTAAGGATGTGGTCAGATCATCAGAATGAAGATTATAGATGATGAAATTCTTTTAAAAATATAAACTGATCTATTTCAGTCTGTTCTTAATATTTGGTCACAATGGTTAAGGAGAGCTAGGTGTACACAATTGATTTATTGTGATTTTTTTCCCCAGTGGAAATAAAACTTAGAATATTGACTAACATTGGTTTGCCTTAAAGATTATCTGTTTGTTCCATTTGTAGTCATTTTTTAAGAAGAGGTGGAATTGGGCTGAAGTTTAATGTGATGGTTATATTGTCCTCTGTTTTTGTGTCTCATCTATTTCTCTATTTGCCCTCTATTTATGCTGATATATTTAGCAAAGGCTAGAAATGGAGATTCATAACATGTAGGTTCTGCTGCCCAGTGTCTTTTCTTCTGTATTTGGGGTCTGCTCTCATAGAACCCAGGCTTTTATTATGCACTATGTATGGCTCTTCTCTAATTTCTCTAATTAGAATATTCTCAAAGTAGCGATGAAATCTTCTAATTTTATCTCTCATAGCACATGAACACTTAATGCAACATTGCATTTGCATTAAATACTAATAAGTGAAATTGGGGAAAAAGAAGTGATTCCACTGGTCCCTTAAGATACTTTGTGAGGGGAAAATGTGTGTGTGTGTGTGTGTGTGTGTGTGTGTGTGTGTGTGAAAATAGTGTTTACCAGTCTTTCAAGATTTGAAATACACATTATTATCTTATAAAATTTATTATTAAGTCTTACAGCAAAAAATTCCAAACCTATTTCACTTTAAAAAATATATATATTTTATTGATTTTTTACAGAGAGGAAGGGAGAGGGATAGAGAGTTAGAAACATCAATGAGAGAGAAACGTTGATCAGCTGCCTCCTGCACACCCCCTACTGGGGATGTGCCTGAAACCAAGGTACATGCCCTTGATTGGAATTGAACCTGGGACCCTTGGATTTGTAGGCCGACCTCTATCCACTGAGCCAAACCAGTCAGGGCAATTTCACTTTGTTTAACCCAGTGTTTTCCAAAATTATTTGACCGTGGAATTTTTTTCTCCCACAATACAAATTAAATTTCAATCAATTGTAGTGTTTTAGGGAGATGTATTTAGAAATATGATCGTGTGGAATTTTCCCAACTATCTTTAGTAAGACTTTTATCCAAACAAATCCTCTGTGGAGAAAAAGGTATTATTAATTAAATTAATATATAATAACAAATCAGGGATTGGGCCTAAACTGGCAGTCGGACATCCCCCGCGGGGTCCCGGATTGCGAGAAGGTACAGGCCAGGCTGAAGGACCCTCCCCAAACCCCCACACCCCATACATGAATTTCGTGCACCAGGCCTCTAGTCTTTAATAAAAGGATAAACTCAGTTGTGACCTTTTACTGCAGTTGTCTTCCTTATTTTAGCATCTACTTGCCTTCCTATATGCTTCAAGCATCCCACTCACATCTTTTCTCCTCTAAATCTCAGTGACAGCAGCATACAAGCTGAGGATATGCCTGTTGTTCTGGATTCATAGTTCTTCCTCTTTCTTAAGTGACTCTGACCTCAGGTCCACTTCAGCTTCCTATTCCATCTTCATATCTTGGGCTTCCCCATTGACTGGATGCTCCACCTCTCAAACTTCCCCATCACCCACTAAATCTCTCACCACCTGACTCCCCACCCCCACCCCATGCTACTTTCTTCTTCCTTTCCTCTACTCAGCAGGCATGTGTAGGAGGCAGTGCTTCAGGTTATATGGCATTGAGGTATTCTCTGAAATTAGGTAAGTATTATAAAGTCTAAAGGACAAAGAGAGAAGATAGCCAAGTTCAGACACTTGTGAAATACCTATAATTATGGAGTCGGAGCCAAAATTTGAAAGGAAAATGAGAAGATAGAAGTAGAAGGTAGTCTTTTCTGTCCAGAAAACAAGCCAAAACAGGAGTTTCAAGGAAGAGGGCGTGGTTATATCTTTAAGGAGAGACTGGAGAGTGATCATTGAACTTAGAGACTAGGGAGTAATTTGGTGGTTTTCAAGAAAAGAGTTTCAATAGAGTGTCTGGGACAAAACCCAGAATGGTGAGTAAGTGGGACTTGGTACATTACTAATGAATCCTCGCAACCAGATCCAGTTACAGCATTGAATATCTATGAATACACTATAGTGTCATTAATATCCTTCTTGATTTGTAGACTATTCGGTTCTCCTACTTTTCTTATCTTACCTTTTCTAGCATTTCTTCTTTAAATGTACCATAATTAACAGATATTCCGCAAGGTTTAAATATAACTTTTCTTTTATGTTAGGGACCTTATTTATGTTCCTAACTTCAGTTTTCACATCCTTCCACGTAACTCACAAATGCATTGGACATTTACACTTGGGTCCCTTGCAAACAGGCATTCCTGAAATAAAAGCAGTATATCTATTCTAGAGTTGATGCATACTTTTGAACTAAGTATTTTTGTCAATAATGAGACCTGTACTCCAGTCTCAGAATCAAAATTTTGCTTATTTGGTAACTTATATAAGACCCAGCAGGATCCCTTTCATTTTACCTTGTTAAAGTAAGGTTTTGGGTGAACAAGATATGGGGTTTATGAAATATTGATCAATGTATGTGATTGGGATTTTTAATTTTTATCAGTTTAGAACATGAAACTTTAAATTTTTACTAGGGGCAGAGTTTATATAAAAAACTAGTGGGTGCGTGAAAAAAAAACAAAAAACCTCTTGGCTTTAGGCAAGTGAAGTATAATTCTTGAGAGCATCGATTTTATATTTGCCGTAAGGTATTTAACCTTGAGTTGACATACCGATCACTATAGAGGCTGTCAGAATTCTGTCAGTATAGTGACAAGGTTCAAGGAGGGGTCATAAATGGAATATTTTTGACTGATTAGAATGAGGAATATTAACCATTAACCATATTAGTTTAAGTGTAAAAAGTATTACTTAATATTAGACATCTTGCATGAATTTGGAAAAAAGTTCTTAGGCTCCAATATTAGTTTAGTTTTATGTTATTAACAAATGCAAGGAGGCAGAGTGATGCGTCTCACAATGTTGCACTTGGAGGTGGAAGAGGAGGTTCTGCTACTATTTCTGTGACCTTGAGCAGGTTTCTGAACTTATTTTGAGACATTCTAAATCTTCAAAAGGATACATTTGGGTCTCCAAGGTTCTTTACAGCTGTAGCATTATAATAGCAGCGATCATTGCTGATCAAGAGAACTATAAGGTAAGCCACATTTTAAATATTAAGTTTTCTAGAAGGGACTTAAAAAGGGTAAACAAGAAACAAGTGAAATTAGTTCTATAATACAGTTTGTTTAACCTAATATATCCAACATATTATCATCTCAGAATGTAATCAATATGAAAATCATTAATGAGCTACTTTATGTTCAGTTTGCACTGTCTTTGGAGTCTGGCATGTATTTTATAATTATAACACCTCCAGTTTGGATTAGCCGCATTCTAGTGCTCAATCAGTGGCTGCAGTTTAGCCTCTTTGTACCTGGTTTGCATACCCTGAGGTTGTCACATAGCTGAGAGCAGCAAATGAGCTGGTCTCATCTTTGATCTCTAAACTGGGCGAAAACTCAGCTGACTCAAGAATGACCTCCAGCCTTCATGTGTATAAACTAGAAATAGAATTATTTCTGTGCTCATGTGGTAAATTTGTGTTCTCTTCTTTCGTGGGCCACATTGCCAACCATCCAGCTCTCCTTGGCTGTCACCGGCCTAAATATGGAAGGGCACATGAACCCAGATGCTGAGGCACATGCACCCTCCTCTTCTGCTGGCTCCTTAGTGAGACATGGTCCCTAGCTATCTGGCTCTGACCTTCATGAGCTGAGCTGGGTCAGCAGGTCCATCTGTAACTATGTTCATGTCTTTCCAAAAGCCTGGAATTAAATTGACTTTAGCCACCCACTTCATGCTTGTTTCTTGTTCAGTTGGCTTCTCTAGATATGAGGATAAATTGTCAACAGCAGGCATCCCCTGCCCTGACTTACAGCCCCAGCAGGGAAGAAAATATCGTATTTTCCTTTAATGGACAGGGACTAAAAGATCATGCCAAGCCCCTCTGCTCCCCCAGCCTCAGCCTCATGCATATGTAATGGGATGTAGCCCATCCTCTCTCAGGAGGAAGCACATGGTACACCTCAGGCATAGTCATTGTGAACAAGTGAGTTTTCTATTTCAAAGAGCTCATACCTCAGGCCTGATCTTGATTTCTTCAGGGCTGATTTCAACCATTTCCTTTAACACATGGTGACTTTTTAAACTCTTCAGTGCAAATATAAATTAAAACATCAAAGGGAAGAAGCATAGTGTACATGTTAGTAAGGGACACCCAGTTGTTAAATGCTGTTTCGATGACCTTTCAGAGTTCAGAAATGTTGCCTGTCTTCTCTGATTTCCCAATATGCGTATCCTCCATTTTCCTGCCTGTGATATAAGAAAATGCGATGTATGTCATGTGCAAAGACTTCAGTTCACTGTCCTCTCCACCCTTGAGCCACCTCTAATGCTAGCACATTGCAGAATGAAAACCGTGCTCCAAGTGCACTAGGGGAGCATCCAGTGACAGCTAATGCTGAGCATGGGCAGCAGGTGGCAGCACAGGCCGGCTGCTGCTGCCGTGGCCCGTTGGGCTGCTCAGGGACAAAGCCCATAGGCGTAGCTGCTATTCTAGATCCTTCAGTCTCACTTTTGCTGACACAAAGGAAGGAAAGAACTCTGCAAACTGGGACATGATTTCACCCAATCCGGATAATTTCCTTCAGTCGTGGTGGGAAACATGCCAAGTGCTATGTATCACAATTAACTGAATCATTGAATTGAAGGGGTGCTAGAAACACTGGTGGAGAAGTCTTAGGGACATGTGAAGGCCCAGCAAACACAGCCCCTGACCACGAACCTTCTGTCTGGACCTCTAACAGGAGCAGGTTTACTGGTTACTGGGAAAGGAGAGCCTCCAATAGACAGCTTTGAGCCATGAGATCTTTTAGCACCTTTCTGTTGCATGGAAGTTACAGGACACGTATTCCAAAGTCATTTGCAAATTGTTTGTATTTAATGTGCTGTGCATGCATCCCCTAACTTTCTCATCGAAGTATTAGTATTCTTCCCGTCACTTAGAATTGTTCTTTGCAGGCTCATTTGCAGGTTCTTCGGTTTCTCTGCATCACTTCCTGTCCCTGTCTAGTAGTGTGAATGGTTTCAGGACTCTGAGGCTACTTTTCATCCTGAGGACATGTCAGGGTGTTTTGGGTGTCAGTGAGCTGGTGGGAAGTTGGGCTCACTATTACACAGAGACTTTATCCCTCCAGCCCCAACAGCTTTCTATGGGCTATGGCCTCAGGTTGTGGTTCTACCCATTCTTATCCCAACCTCTTATTTCCAAGAGGGAGCCTGGTTTCTCCACAGGCTCCTGCCAGCAGGGGGTGCACCTCATCATCAGACAGAAGCCACACTCCTGGCTTCCTCTTGCTTGCACCTTTGCGTTTTCTTTGTTTCTGGCCCAGGAAGAGGTTTTTGTTGTTGTTTGTTTTGTTTTGTTTTTTCATTGTTGTGTCTAGAGTGAAATGGGATGTTGAAAGTGTGAAGTCATAGCATGTTCTTTTCCGAGAAAGGAGAGACAAATTTCAACTAAACATAAGAAAAAAGTTTCTAACTTAAATCTACCCCAAAGACACTGACTGACTTGTGAGTACAAACCATAGAGGGGGACTAAGAGATCATCTCTCAGAGAAGCTTTAAAGAGCCTGCCTTCTTTTCCCTCCTCTGAATATCCCATTGAACTAGATTCCCACTAAGTTCCCTTGCATTTCTCCTGAGAGTCTGGTTCTACCCAGGACTGTTGGGTCTGCAGTCAGCAATCCCTGATTATTGGGATTTCTGAGTTTCACATCCTTTTTAATGCCCTTTAAGTCCCCTTTTTGTAGTTAATTGGAGATACCTCCTTTTACTGGGTTTTGTTTGTGCTTTTAGCTGCACAGGAACAATATGTATCAGTCACCAGTCATATTTTAGCACCTGGCATTTTCCTCCCCTTTTACTTCAATATTCAATAGCAAGCCTTGCCCGTATTGCCTGTAAAATATAGAAGTGCTGCGCTGGGACCTAAGGTGTTGTCTAGGAGCAAATTGCCTATCTTGGGGAATGGAGGGACTCTTCACACTTGTGTGGATCTGAATTTCTAGTTCCCCAAACTGGGTATGCCTTTCTGAAAGGTTAACACAACTTCAGACTTCATGATAGACAGGCATGTTTTACATCAAGGGTCCTCAAACTTTTTAAACAGGGGGCCAGTTCACTGTCCCTCAGACCATTGGAGGGCCGGACTATAGTTTAAAAAAAAAAAAAACTATGAACAAATTCCTATGCACACTGCACATATCTTATTTTGAAGTAAAAAAACAAAACAGGAACAAATACAATATTTGTATTTTTATTTATTTATTTATTTATTTATTTATTTATTTTTTAAATATATTTTATTGATTTTTTACAGAGAGGAAGGGAGAGAGATAGAGAGTTAGAAACATCGATGAGAGAGAAACATCGATCAGCTGCCTCCTGCACATCTCCTACTGGGGATGTGCCTGCAACCAAGGTACATGCCCTTGACCGGAATCGAACCTGGGACCTTTCAGTCCGCAAGCCGACGCTCTATCCACTGAGCCAAACCGGTTTCGGCACAATATTTGTATTTGCATGTGGCCCGCTGGCCGTAGTTTGAGGACCCCTGTTTTACATCCTGGGAAGTAATCATTGCGGAGGAGAAGGGGTTTTAGATGGAAGTCAGGAGACCTGATAGGACTCTGATGGCCACTTCTCATTATTTAGTCTTCAGCTAATTACATGACCTCTCTGCACCTCTGTTAATAAATCTGCAAATTAACTGAATTTGAATAAGCGACTTCTAAGTTTCTTCAGTGCTCCAAAGATTCCAACAGTGCATGCACTGTCTACAGGAAGGCCAGGCCATATCCAGAACCAGGTTTAGTTCTTTATTCCAAGGTTCCCTGCACCAGAAAGGCTAAGAGGTTGGTCTTTGGCGTTTGGCAAGCCTAATTTTGAATGCCGTCTACCACATAAATGATGTGGTATGAAGTAGGACATTGGACTTTCCAAATCTCAGTTTCCTTATCTACAAAGTGGAGATGAAAATTACATCTATCTCAGGGACTCCTTTTGAAGTTTAATGAGACAGTTCACTGGAGAACTTTGCTCAAGGACTGGCCCATGGAAAGTTCACTGTTTATGTTCATCATGAACTCTGAGAGCAGGCCTGCTACCTAATCTATCTTAGCCCAGCTCATTTATCTTTTCATTTCAGTTGCTTAGTTCTGCATTTTATATGTAGTAGTGTGCAATAAATGTATTATTAAAGTACCATTTTAAAAAAATATTTAAAATACATGACGCATATAAATATAGAATGAATATACATAAAAATGTATTTATAGTGCCATATACAAATGATGTATTATAGAATTGTTCACATGAAGCCTACATATTTTATTAACCAATGTCACCCCAATAAATTTAATTTAAAAGGTATTTAGTGCCTTAATGATGGCACCAACAAGAGGATAAAGCTGTTGTTGTTGGGTTTTTCTTTTTGTTTTTTTGAGAAATAGAAGAAAGGGATTATGTGGCTTACACCAAAATAATTTTCTAAATTTGAGTCAAAGTTGGTTTATGTAATCTTCTCAACATTTGTCTCGCTGTAGGACAGAAATCTTCAAGTTAACCTGTACTTATATAGTTCTTAGACAGGCCTGTTAAATACTACTCTAGTATGACATTGTGAGACATTCAAGTTTGCTTTTGCTCTTTTCAAATTTAGGGTAATTTTCCTAAATAGCTGTAATAAGACTAAATCTGAGAAAAAGATTAAACAGGAATATGATTCTAGTACATAAGTATCTATTTTATGCCTAAACTTATAATAAATACTAAGTCCAGCCCTAATTATGTTTCCATAATGTTTCATTTAGGGGGATACAAGGATATTTAGAAAAACAATAATTTCTAAGATGGTACTATGGAGATTAACCATTTAACTGGTGCTTACATACACCATGCACCATGTTAAGGGCTTTATATATATTTCTCTCTGCAAACAATCTTGTGAGGTAGGTCTTATTAACGCCATTTTGAAAATCTGATAAATGTGTCTCAGTGATGTCAGATAATTTAATAAAGATGACAGGGCCCATATGAGCCAGAATTGAAATTCATTCTGACTCTAAGTCCTGTATTCCCTCCAGTGGCCTATGCTATATACCTCCCTAAATTTTAAACTCTTCTAGATTTTAAAGGAGATCTCTAGTTAAACATACAGACAAATGGGTGTAGCTTTGCTTATACGACAGAGCATGTACAAAATGGTCCTTTTCCCTATAAGAGACTTGCCACCTTGAATCTGCCAGGGATAAGTGGTCTTTCTGTTCCCTGGCTGCTGGATTAAAACATATGTTTTAGCCCTAGCTGGTTTGGCTCGGTGAATAGAGCGTCGGCTTGAGGACTGAAGGGTTTCAGGTTTGATTGCAACAAGGGCAAATGCCGGATTGCAGGCTTGACCCCCAGTAGGGGGCGTGCAGGAGGCAGCCAATGAATGATTCTCTCTCATTGTTGATGTTTCTCTCTCTCTCTCTCTCTCTCTCTCTCTCTCTCTCTCTCTCTCTCTCTCCCCTTCTCCTCCTCCCTCCCTCTCTCTCCCTCTCCCTTCCTCTCTGAAATCAATAAAAATATGTTTTTAAAAAACTACCAAAAAACATGTACTTTAAAGAAAACTAAGACCATTTGATTTTGCTCTTTAAAGCCGCTCCACTCAGGCGGTCTTCCTTGTAACTTACCTGTCTTTCTTATCCCTCTTCTGGCCCCCAATGTGTCCCTAGGTGGGCTGGATCCTTTCTATTCTGGATGAACTGCAGCTGAGCCCTCAGCCTCCGGTTGGAGTCCTTCCTCTGGGGACTGGGAACGACCTGGCTCGGACTCTCAACTGGGGAGGGGTAAGAACTCTCTTGGGGGCGGCCCCTGGCGTCCAGCGGCAGGCTCCCCCAACCCACAGACGTTCTAATGGAAGGGGAATAAGTTAGAGCTGAGAACCAAGGCACCCACGAGCCACGATTTTATCCAGTAACTTATAAGCAGCTAGAAAAGAAGGGAACATTTAGGATTAAAAACGGGGTTAGTACACAGGCCTGGGCTTTTTGAGCTCAACACTAAGATAGTGGGTGGGTTGTCCTCAAGTCTTCATGTAAAACAACCACAGACTTGAATTGATCCTGACCCTCAGCCTTGGCCAGGATAGCAACTCTGACTCAGATTTACAATGCTTACTTTGGGAAAGTTATGCCTTTTTTTGAGCATGTGGTTTCTCTGGTCAGTGTCATCATGGCTTTGACTCTATAGGTAACAGACTGTCCTTTGCATTGTGGAGCCAATTTCAGACAAGTTCAGTGGAGGCAGTTTCCCTGTCACCAACCAGCCATTTCATTACTTTTTTTTTTTTTTTTTTTTTTTTTTTTACAGCGCTAAGTCAGTAAGAAGGCACAATATGCTAACATATGCAGCCTACCAGCTTTTTATCTGTTCATATGAGACCATTGCCTGGGCTGGGTTCCATGAAAATCATCTTCAGATACTAGAAGATATTAATCTGGCTTTTGGGAGAATTAACTTCCCTTAGGAGATAATTATCTTCAGATACTAATTTGACTTTGGGTGAATGAATTAACCTCCCATAGGTCTTTTTTTAAGTGTAAATAATAAATATAGGATAGGGCAAAAATAGGATTATAGTTGTGAGTACTCCAAACAGAGTTTATTCTTATATTATTCTTTATTAATTATTTTCCATATGAATAACTGTAAACCTACTTTTGCCCCGCCCTGTATTTACATGAAGCAACTGGTATATTATCAATGTTAACTCCTCTCATCCAATCAGTGACTTGACAGTCCTTAATAATCATGCTGTCAGTAATGCTCTAGGAGTAAGAGTTCCCAAGCAGGGCTATTCCTCTGTCAGACTTGCCTTAGGTCATGGAAGGAATGGTGTCCTGCTACAAGGTTAGGGAGAGGTAAGTAAAATGGGGTGTTAATAGAAGAAATTGTCTTCTATTAAGGCCGCTTTGTTTCTTTTATCCTCTCCTCCCAACCCCAAACACACTTCTGTGCATTTCACAAACCCCTTTAGTAGGAGGCCTGTGGGGTCCTGCTTTTACTCTGATGAAAGCAGCAATCATTCAGCATAGCCCCTAAACCTACCAGCAACTATTGGTTCTCAGTGTAAGCACAAATTATTCCTCAGCTCTAACCAGCTAGAGTTAGCATTTCTGTGCATGTTACCTGTGACTATTGTGTTAAGTTCTAAGTACCTGGGAAAAAAGAGTTTACTAATTACAAAACAAACACAGAACTGTAGCAGAGGGCTCTTTCTTGCATGAAATGCCTTTGGCTGTACTGTTCACTACTCCAGATGCCAATGGATGTGTTCGTTGGTTCCTTAGGGCTACACTGATGAACCTGTTTCCAAAATCCTCTGTCAAGTAGAAGATGGGACAATTGTACAGCTAGATCGCTGGAACCTCCATGTGGAAAGAAACCCAGACTTGCCTCCAGAAGAGCTTGAAGATGGCGTGTGTAAGGTTAGAGAGTTCTTTCTTTGGCAGAAAGGCACTCGGGAGCATCCGTCATGGGAAATACATTTGTGGCTGGAGATTCATGTGCTGATTTCTTCATATGAGATAAAAGGATAGTGTTAGAGTTTATGGCTACAGGGCTGTGCGTCCAACATTACCCACTGATTCTACCCCAGGGGTTTCTAAAGACCTAGGTTTCTACCTGCTTCCAGGGCTCAGGGAGCTGTTCTCTGTCCTCACCTTCCACACCAGGAACACATGGATCCATGTTCTAATTTTTCAAGTTCATTGCAAACTCTTAACCTAAGAGAAAATGAAAAAAAAATATATATATATATGTATGTTCTGAAGCATTAGAAATATGATCTTTCAAAACAAAGATAGCCTTCTGAGATTTCTGGCTTGATATCAAATGTTCCCAATGTTTAGGAAGTATTAACTAAGCCGATTTCATTACTTGCATGGGACTTGAAGATGCCTACATAAATGCTTTGATTTAGTGCTTTTCCTTCAGTGATTGAGCTTTTTATTTCAATCCAAGACAAACCAAGGGGCGCAGTTGTAACTACTCTAGTGTGGAGCTTCAGTAGAGGATTTAGTTCTAAGATCTGGCCTCAATTTCAGATAAATTTGGTAGGTCGCCAAGTAGCCACTTCCTCCTTATTACTTCCTACTTCTTTTCTATGATAGTGTTTTCAAACTTTTGTATGCATAAGATTCTCCAGGTGTGCTTGTTAAAAATACAGATTAAAATACAGATATACTTTCCGTAATAACCCAGTCCCAGAGAGTTTCATTAACTAAATGTAGGGTTAAGGCCGAGGTATTTGTACTTTAACCAGCATTACTGCTATATTGGATTATGCCATTGATTGAGACCAAGATTTCATGGAAGTTTCAGCCTTAAAATAGATTGAACCAGACAGCATTTTAGACCAAACCAACATCCACTTAATTCATTCAAACATGTTTTGCCTTGGTCTTTATTTTTTTTTTTCACCTAAACCATGATTTAGAAATTATAAGGTTTTTGGTAGATATCACGATTGCTCAGTTGGTACTGAGTTCATCATGTCACAATGTTGTTTAAATAGCACTTATTGTCTTGGAATATGATGTCTTTCTACTGTATTAGAATACAGAAATTGGGTAGAAAAGAGCCAAAGTAAAAAGAAATGTACCATATGAAAATGTTAGGCCCTTTCCCCACTAAACTTAGAATGGTTAGGCCCTCAGTAGAAGTCTATATTTAAATCTCTTCCCAACAGCTCAAGTAATGGAAAGACTTCTTGGTGCAGCCAGGAAACATTAATCCAGATAATTAAAAGGCTATGAAAATGGATTTTTTTGAAGAGACATGTAGGAAATTGGGGTAATTTTTTCCTGGAAAATATGAATAAGAATTTAATAACAGACTAAATTGGGATATTATTTATCGGATGGTGGCCAGATGTTCCCCTGAGTTATCAGCGAATGTTAAGACATGGGTTAGACTTGTAGCCAAGAAAACATAAATGGTAGAGATGAACATATCTGTGTTCTTGGCAGGATCACCAACCCTTGCTGTCATTATAGGGATGGTATTTTGTTTAAGTACAGGAACTGGACATTCTCAAATGTGAAGCCAGGAAAATGAGACATGATTTTGGCATTGTTCTGTGTGTTTAGTTTCTCTCCCTGCTCTCCAGTTAGCTATAACAATTTCTAGGGGCTGTTTTGACCTCTGAATCATTATAAGCTCTGGCTCGGGGCCTTCTATGAGGGGTTCATTCTTTATTTATATTAGAGACCCAGGGAACCCATTTTCTTTCTTTCTGTATTAATATATCTCTCTCATTCTCATTTCATTTTCTATTCTTGGCACAAGGTTTATTTCATTCTTCTCTTATTGGGACAAGGTTCTCACTCTCATCAAACAGAAAATCAAGGGGGACATGAAACACTATAATAAACTTACTTTTGGGAATTTGATGGTTAAACATGTATTTCTAGTGCATTTCTCTCTGATCATTATCTGGAAATATTATCTAAACTGAGGTAAAATTACCTATCTGTTTACTTTAATGTTTATCGTCCACTCTGAGCTATAGACGGTAAAGTGAAAGAATCACTATTTCCCTTCTAACATTTTCCAATGCTTTTCTAATTGTTCTAATATTGCCTGCAGCCTAAAAACACATTAATTTTACAGTTTTAATTCAGGACTTTAGTTTGTGTGGTTCTCTGTTTTACTCAGCTTGCAGCAGTAACAGCCAGTGACCCAGAGGATTCTGGGAAGGAAAGCTAAGGTTGGGTATGCACCTATATGTCTGTGTTCACATATTTCACAGTTATCTTAAAATACAAGGTTTGAAGAGGGGCAAGGGGTCAAATATGTGGTGATGGAAGGAGACTGGACTCTGGGTGGTGAGCACACAATAGAGTGTAACCTGAAATTTACCTAATGCTATTAACTAATGTTATCCCAGTATATTTAATATAAAATATACAAGATTTGGAAAACTAGGAATCTGAATAATACTGATCAATAAATGTCTATGTACATATCTATTTGTTTTTTCTTTTTTTCTCTAGATTGAGAATAGATGAATGTCTCCAACTGCCTTATTGCTTATATGACTTTTGTCAAAAATATTTTTTTTAAAGTAGACAAAGGGCAAACAAATTAAACATTATTCATTTTAAGATGCAATATTAATATGTTGAACATATTCTTGAAAAAAGTGTAGCCACAGGTTAAGTAGGTTTAGACATGATCCTTACAATTTACTTCCTAAGGTTGAACAGTGAATCATTGTTCATAACTATTGCAAATATGCACCCTTCCGCATGATAAGAGTATCTTATTACAACATCCCCAGGAATGGTTCTCATTTATTAATTTGTATCTGTATCCCTTCTTTCCTATACTATTTAAAATAATTGGGAGTATTATCTGATTTGAGCTTTGACTAATGAATTTATTTAAACATCCCATTCCTTCCATGTAAACACCTCTACCCGGAGTTGTGTCTGATCTCCAGTCCAGAGATCGCCCCAGAGACAGATGTCGGGCTTGAACTTTTTCTTTCTGCTTGGATGCACACGACTTCACCTCTACCTTGTTCATCATTGCAGCTTCCTCTGAATGTTTTCAATAATTACTTCAGCCTTGGATTTGATGCCCACGTCACACTGGAGTTCCATGAATCCCGAGGTGAGGACAGCGTTCCATTTCCATCTCCCAGGGAGGAAGTTTCCAGCAGGTGTTTTGCATGTTCCCTTTTGTCTGCATATCGCTTACCTGTCAACAGTGTGCGTCCGTGTTGTGTTTTTCTGTTTGTTTTTGTTTTGACCTCCCTGATGACCTTGGGAGCTAGACAAGGTAGGAACATAATACAAATAGGACCCTGAGACCATGTTGGTTGGGGTTTCAAAGATGGTCAGAGACAAGACCAGAGGTGTGCCTGGGATTGCTACTCTAAGTTGATTAGAAACTTTGTTAGTGAACTACTGAGAAATAATAAAGTTTCTTTCACTAAAGTCATTGGGATACTCACAGCTTCTCAAGCTACCAGTTGTAATGGTACAACATTTAATAACCCAGAGCCATTGAAACCTGGTAGCACAACAAAGAAGCCCTGCCTGTGGGTACAAAAGAGACATTAGGCATTTTAGGACAATAGGGGCCTGTGGGTGGTTTGGGTTGAAAGAAAAGGGTGTGATGGAGATTGGATTAGGTTGGGAAGGTGCTGCAAGTCCTCACCGGATGAGATAGGGGAGTGAATAAGGCAGAGTGGTCATTTAAGTACCAATAGAGATGGAGTCAAGGGTTGGGAGAGCAAAACGATTTTTGAAAGAGAAATAATGATGTGGTTAAACATTTCATCAGAACTTCCTTATGTCTTTAGAACTGAGAAAGTTGAGGATTTTTGCTTATGCTTTGAAGTTTTAATCTCTCTCAGTTTCTATTAATCTCTCTTTTTCTCTCTGAAGCTCTCTTATTAATATAACTATAGTACACATCTCTGTCTATGCCTGTATCCATAACTATAACTGTTCCTAGTCCCTTGTCAATATGTTAATATATAACCAAAATACTGCTGAGCTGTAGGGGAGTAAGATAAAAGTCACAAATGAGGGATTATTTTTACCTTTTTTCCTCCATCCAGATTCTGCAAGAGCATATGTGGGTTTTAACTCATAGAATTTGAAAAACAGAGAACTAAAAGCTAGAATTTAAATGTTCCTGTTCCAGTAATAATGTAGGGAAAATTCTGATCACTCTCTTATGCACTAAAGGTCAATAGTGCAGCAATAGGATGAAGGCTGTTAGAATTCAAACTAATAGTGAAGTCCCAACCTATACTTTTCTTCATGAATTCAGCAGTTTTGGTAAACTTTTTCTTCCTGGATTCATGAGGCTTCAAGGATCAAATGCTGTGCCAAATAAAAGCAATAGTGATTAAAGAGGGGCTGTAGTATGGTTGTTCTCTCTGATTAGCCAGAAAATCACAGCTAGAAAGGTTGGTTGATGACAGAACCACAGATAGCAAACACCCAAATCAGAAGCATTATAGTACAAGGCTAATCAGAGGGAACGACCAAACTACAGCCCCTCTTTAATCACTATTGCTTTTATTTGGCACAGGATTTAATTTGGGGAACTAAATAGAGATCCCTTTGACCATTTCTTACCCCATATTTCCTCCTCATTTTCTTCAGGAGACCCTGAATCTGGGCTTCCTAATAAAATTCTTAATTTCTTAGCAATACTTATAAAGTAATACAATTCATTAATACATGAATCTCCCAAAATAGACATTCTGGCAGGAAAGGAGGCCTAAGTGAGTAAGTGCCCGAAAATGAGCTCATTCAAGGGAAACTAATATTTGGTCTAATTAGTCTGGAAGTTCTCTTGATACATTTCCTTATGCTATGATGACACTTCTGTGCTTCAGAGTGAGAGGGGGCATCAAGGTAGAAGGACCAAGCTTAGAAGAGAATTCTTGCAGGAAAGTGACTTTTTATTTTATTTTATTTTAAGCTATGGGACTATTTCATTTTAGAGAGGAATATGCAAATTGCGGTGTGTATGTATAGATACATAGTATTGGTTAAAAGATACCAAGCATTACTTTTTGAGTAGTTTACCTCTGAGGCTTACTTTAAGTGCTCTCATGCGATATGAAACATTTGCCCTGCAGGTAAGCCAGAGCCCTTGAGGAAAACCAGCCACTGCAAGCTGATAAGGGAGAATTAATGTCACCTAAGAGTAATAGCTACAATATTCATGAAGATGATACACAGCTGGTACAAAATAAATGTCCACAAAATATTGCAACTGGATTTGGTTGATATGCTTAGACCAGGGATGTGAGCTTCTTAGTATCTGTTAATCTATTCATTTTTTGCATTAAATAAAATCATTATTTACTATAAAAAGTATAATTAGTCACACTAATATTCTTCTTTTGTTGGTTTGGATTTTCGCCATATACTTTCCAGGATAGTCAAGACATCTCAAGGTTGGCTGCAGAAGAAAAAGGAGAGAGAGGCCACGTTTTCAATAAGGGCGAATTCACTTATTTTCTTGGTAATGAGTGGCTGTTCTCAAGCCAAACAAAACTCATAGTTGAGACTTCAAACTGTTCTCAAACACAACCACTCACAGTTTGAGACTTCATGATAAAACTTGTTTGTATAAAATACTTGGAATGTGACTGCAAGCCTCATGAGAACCATTGTAAAAATGAGCTTGGATAGAATAACCTATTAGGTGTCAGTAAAAAATAATATAGTACTTTAAGTTGGGCGTCATGCCAACCAGCCTACATGAAATAGAAAATAGATACAAATCTCACTGTGTTAGGATTTTTAAAAAATGTAAATGCAAACAATTTTTTGGCATAGATGTAAAATAGCCCTTCAAATCGATATGGGACAGATGCAGATTTTAGCATTGCTACCTATATTATATTTCTTTTAGAAGGGACAAATAAAGTGACATTTATTTTGAGAAAGTTTATTGGTGGAATTATTGTATAAATAAATGCATTTAGAATTATCAGTAGAAAATCAAACAAGGAATTAATATAGGCTTAACACTTTGATTTACTTTACATAAAGAGTGGAAATATTTGAATAATTTGATCAGAACAGTGGTTCTCAACCTTTAAATACAGTTCCTCATGTTGTGACCCAACCATAAAATTATTTTCGTTGCTACTTCATAACTGTAATGTTGCTACTGTTATGAATCGTAATGTAAATATCTGATATTCAGGATGGTCTTAGGCGACTCCTGTGAAAGTGTCATTTGACCGCCAAAGGGGTTGCAACCCACAGGTTGAGAACCCCTGGATCAGAAAGGTGGTTTGCTTCATTTGATTGGAAAACAGATGCTTTCTTATTCTTCTCAACCACTGTGCATGGTTGAATTGTTGCTGCCTGGGAAAGTTTAATCATTTGAATAGAATTTGGAGATATAGTAGGATTGGTCATCAAATTTTCAGTGGGAGTCTTGTCCAGTACTTCGATCATTATTGTATTATGACAGTGCTTGAGGACATACATGGAAAATATTTCCATATATAATGTATAGGGATGTTAACAATGATTACAGGTATCAGGTGGCAAAGTCAGGTCTCACCCTGCCAGCTGTATGAACTAGATTGTCATTTGCTTTGGACATGAAAGATATTAAACAACACCAAACTTTCAGTCTGAGATTGGATGCTTAAATTTTTCTGCTTCATTGAAATTATTATTCAGAGGAGTCAAGCCTTATGCTACAAGGTCAAGGACATACTATTATGACTCCAGAGGAGGCAGTATTTAAATTTGATTTAGAAGTTACTATTTCCATTGAATATATAGAGACATGAAGATCTGCATGTTTCAAAGGATTATGCATGTTTCATGATTCATGGAGAGAACTGGCAGATTTCTTTTAAAAATGTCTTGTTTGCAATGGCTTGCTGAATTTCATTGTTACGGTCACTGCAAAGGACTCACTTTCCAGCTTTTGTCTAGACTTGAAGGCTCAAGTATAGTTTGCCCTTGAGAAACTCACACTGTGCGAGATTCTCTGTATGTAACCTTCTTTTCCATCCTGAACCTCTGCGTGGTACCTACTCATCATTCAAGATTCAAGTATACCTGCCCCTGGAACACTTTTCTGATCATTTCCTTTATGTGTAATGGCCACTTCATCTCATACAGACATATTTTTATAGCACATACAAAATGACATTTTAGTTTTCATTTTCAGACCTGTCTCTTCCACTCTAAATTCCATGAGGGTATAAGACAATGTCTTCTTTCTTTTCCTTCCTTCCTTCCTTCCTTCCTTCCTTCCTTCCTTCCTTCCTTCCTTCCTTCCTTCCTCCTTCCCTCCCTCCCTCTCTCCCTCCCTCCTTTCCTCCCTCCCTCCCTCCCTCCCTCCCTCCCTCCCTTCCTTCTTCAGCTATGAAAGAATATAGTTTATTTTTAAATATAATAAACTCTTAAATCATCTTTTGCTTAATTTATCTGAATTATAGTACGTTTCCATCAGAACACATAGTTATGAATTTATTACATGTATGCATGTATTCCCTATAACAAATAAATCAGTATTCTAATCAAATAATTTAACCCATGTTTTCTTTTTTTCAATTACAGTTTACATTCAATAGTATTTTTTATTAGTTTCAGGTGTACAGCATAGTGGTCCCTGTGCCTAGTCCAGTGACTATCTCAATAAGTGTTACAGGAATGGGATTTTAATCGGAGGGATAGGCCCACATACAAAAGATAACACTAGAAAGGCATATAGAGTAAGGGCACGATTAGTTGTACAGGCAGTAAATAACATTGGAGTTCAGTGGGACTGTTGTCAGGGGAAAGGTGCCTGAGGAAAATTCCCAGAGAGGGTAGATAAAGGAAGAGAAAGGAGGAGTGTGATGTTGACAAGAAATAAATAGGTGAGGGCATTTCAGACAGGAAAGAAAAAGTACAGAGGGATAATGAGCTTGTGATAGAGATAGGTTACATGACCAGTTATTACATAATGAAAGATTTTTGTGATGGTGTTAGAAAAATGAAGATAATGTTGTTAAAAATTATATGCCCTGAATGGGAAATAATGTTGAAAAAAATATTAAAAAAATACACAATTTAAATTGAAGATGCCAATGTTATTGTAGGCATAAATTTTGGAGTCATTTATGTATCTCTGACTGAAGTCTTAAAATTGGATAAGTATTTGATGAAGAGAGTATAAAAGATGTGTGAGTTATAAAGGGTTCAAATTGCTTATTGATTTTTTTTATAAACATAATGTTGGACTTATGTTTATGAACATTTCCCTAATATGCAGGACCAATTACAGGCAGAAATAGGGTTTAGGATCCCATTCTGATGGCACACATATCATTGTGTTGTGCATAAGGATGAAATTAATATATTAAATCAATGGAATGGAGTGTACCCAGAGCCTCATCATCATTATAAATGAATTACATCCAGAGCCAAGCCATTTTGATGATTTAGATGATGGGACTTGGGAAGTTGGAGCTAATGAGATTTAGATGAGATTTTTGGATTTTGAGTTGATACTATAATGGGATGAAACCTTTGGAGACCTTGAAGGGAGTGAATGTATTTTTCATACATGAAGGATGTGGATCATGGGGGCTATCGGGTGCATGATGGTAGGTATTTTGACTGCCATGACTTTTGCCATTTGGTTCCTGCTTGTTGGTGGTTTTATTTTATTTGGCAAAAAGATTTTGTAGATATTATGAAGGTTAATAATTAGCTGACCTTAAGATAGGAAGATAGTTCTGGATTATCTGAGTGGGACCAATGCAATAACAGGAGCCTTTAAATGCAAAGGTGGAAGGTGGAACGGGAAGTCAGAGTGATGTGGGAGAAGAAGTCAGATTCAGAGTGTGAGAGGGATTTGATGTGCCCTTGCTGCCTTTGACAACGGAGGGGTTATCATAAGCAGAGGAACGCAAGAGGCCTCTGGAAGTTGAGAATGTACCCTAGCCAACAGCCAGTGAGGAAAAAGAATTTTATTACTGCAGCTGCAAGGAAATAGATTTTGTCCGTAACCTGAATGAGCTTGGAAGCGAATCCTTCCCAGAGCTGCTCAATAAGAGCTCTGTAGGCTGACACCTTGATTTTGGCCTCGGAAGAGCCTAAGCAGAGGACCCAGGAGAGAACCTAGAGAGTTGTAAGAAAATCAGTGAATATTTTAAGCTATCAAATGTGCAGGAAACGAATACAATTAATATTGGTATCCAATCAGATTGTAAATAGGTTAATGGCATAGAAATACACGGTGTGTTTGGATCTCACTATCTCACACCCTCTTGTGGAAGAGGAGGATGAAATTTAAGAACTGCAGCCATAAACCATGGGTACTTCCACTATTGGGGTTTTTGAGGATCATTACCTTTCTTGAGAGTGGCCTTTCATGGTTGACTTCATACCAATTAACAGACACAACTTCCTTAAGGAGCAAGAGCTCTTAAACGTTCTTGCTGGCTCTTTCCCAATTCTGTATGCCCCCTTTCCTTGATATAGTGGGGCCCACATTTGTTGGTCCTCCTCAAAGTCATATCAATTCTATGCATACACAGGCACATATTCAGCCACTCCACCCCTTCCCTTTAATAGCCAGAATGATGGAGTACTGTTGTTTGTAGGCTCTTGTCTGGCCCGACTTCTGTAGGGAGTGGCACAGCTCTTACACTAGCAAACATCTCCCTTAGCTGCAGCCAACCTTGCTTCTCAGTCTGATTTGTGCTTGGAATAGGGTAGATATAAAAGTGGGAAGAGAGTCCAATTGCTAAAGCAGGCTCAGCCTGGGAGTCAATATAATGTATGGGATGGAGCAGAGAGAATAATAGAATATACCTCACACATTTCCTACCCCCAAGGCCAACTCTCCTACCTGTTTATTTTATATCTTTATTTTTTGTATTCAGATTAATATTTTTTTATTGAAGTAAAAATTCATAGAACATAAAATTCACCATTATAACCAATTTATAGTATATAGTTCAGGGATTTTAGTATAATTACAATGTTGTGTAACCATCACTATTATATAATTCCAGATCATTTTCATCACCCCAAAAAGAAACCCTGTCCCCACTGAGCAGCACCTCTCCATTTCTCCCTTCCTCTACCCACTGGTAACCATTAATCTTCTTTTTGTGTCTATAAATTTGCCTCTTCTGGACATTTCATATCAATGGAATCATACTATATGTGTCCTTTTATGTATCTTTCTGACACCTCTCTAAATGCTATTGTCCTGATAGGCCTCTAGTTTTTATAATTACTTATATATATAATCAGCTTTTATCCAGTTAAATTAGATCTGCGGTGACTGTTTTAACCAACTGTGTGATTAAAATCACCAAAAACTCGGTTTACATCTTAATTTTAGTCTTTTTGGGTCTTATAGAACAGCGGTCGCCAACCAGTGATCCGCGGGCCACTGGTGGTCTGTGAGGTCTGAAAGGTTGGCAACCGCTGTTATAGAACATTTTCAATCTCTCGAGAGAGAAAACACACCTTTTTTTAAAAGGAAAAAAGCGTTTTCAGTTCTTCAAGACTCATAGGAAAACCTCATGAAGATGTGGCTATTTTCCAAACCATACATTAGTAAAAAACTAAATGTTAATAGTTGGTATATGATTCATTTAATAGCGTTGGACATCATTTCCCTGAAAAACTTCATTGCCAAGACTGTGGGTGTCATTTTCCATTTCTCATTATAACTTGCTCAATAGCTGGATCTGATTTTGTTTAAAATTAGGGCCTATGTACCTACAATAAATTGCATGGCAATGAAAATTCTCATTTTGCAAGAGTTAATGCAACTGAAAATGGTACCCAGCCAAATCTGGGTCAATAAGGTTAAAAACAACATGCCATTCAGCAGTCAATTTCATCCTGAAGAAGGTCCAGGCCATAGAAATAGTCAACTCTGTGGCCAGCAATGGGGATCGAGGAGGTAGAGCACTTAGCATAGTTTTTACCTTATTTTGGTTTACTATATCATAAGTTAACCTTTTACCTTTTCTATTATTTTGTTTCTAGGGCTATAGTACTTAATTTGGTCGAAGAGAGTGAATGGTTAAGGAGAGGTTTGAAATACAGGAATTGTAAATAGATGAATATAACTATCAAACACCAACCTATAAAAATACCACATTTTTGATGTTTGCAAAACCTCAACTCCGTTTCTATGCCTTATGCTGATATTTGTCACATCATAAAAATAATCTAATAATTAATTGTCCAGAATTATTTCCTGAGATTTTGTAGCTTTTATTCAACCCAGTCTTAGTGAGTGAACTCTGCTACTTTTCTTCATCTAGACAACAACTTTTGGGATTTGCCATGCAAAACTAGCGTTAGGACTTGGAGTTTCAGCTAGCCAGCCAGTCTGATGAGAAATGACCTGGAGGAGATCTAACCCTGGGAGGGGGTAATGAGCATGCTGAGTAAAATAGCAGACAGCAAAAGATCGGCAGTGAGGGATGTAAGAAAATAATATCCCATTTAGATAGTTTATAAATTCCTTGAATTCATATGAAAATTCTCTGACACAGATTCTTGTTTAATCTTTTTCTTCCCTCAACATATGCAACATATAGGAACAAACTCAAAATTAAACCATTTTTGAGCCAGAACCTCTGCTGTCATATGGCCTGTGTCCAGTCCATTCAGCCAGTAGTGTGTGTGTGTATCTCCACTAATGCAAGTTATTTTTCAAGGTCTGTCACAAATAAGAGTGCAGATAGTAGTTTTTGCAAAATCTGAAAGCAAATTCTCCATTAATTTTTATCTGAATTGCCCATATTTAATTACATTTGGAAGCGGAATCCATAGTTTATGGAAGCCATGACCTATGGAGGTCAAAACAAATAATCCCCGTCCCTCTCCTCCTCGCTCCTCCTAACACCCCATTCCTGTATCCCTGCCCATGCTCTATTCTGAATAGAGCCCAGAGAGTTTCCGCCTTCACTGTGCATGGGAATCACCTGAGAGCTTGCTATATCAGAGTCCTAAACCCCACACCCCGGACATTCTAATTCCGCAGGTATGGGGTAGATCCCAATAATTTGCATTTTTTAACAATCTCCCGGTTGATGCTGATGCTGCCAATCTGTGGCTACATTTTGTTTCACTGGACAACGATGACCTCTGCCTATAACTAAGGGGAAGATAATAATGAAGCTGGTGGGTCTATTGGATCTGTGAGGGGAGGAAGTAGGGGTGCCAGTCTAAGTCACTACCTTCAGTAAGGTCTCCAGAACAAAACTACCCCTTTCCTTTCACAGAGGCAAATCCAGAGAAATTCAACAGTCGTTTTCGAAATAAAATGTTCTATGCAGGGGTAAGTATATACTTTATTTTATAAATTATTACATATCATTTAACGCTAATTCACTATTGGTCATATAGATGCTAACTGTACTAAAATGACGGCATATACTAGTACATTTCAGATGTTTACATGTAGGGCTATGTATGGTTCATGTTTAATATGTTGGTTTAAGAAGAAAGGCAAGGATGTCTGTCTTAGGTTAGTTGGCAAAGAGAGAGCTGGTGCCCATCATCTTTGAACTGAAAAGCTCTGAGACTCCATGTTGTTCTGAGCATCCAACGCTGATACTCCATATCCAAGGAGTAATGTGAGAAACAAACACCAGAGCCAACCCAGAGAATGGGAAATCAGGCAGACTGAAACATGTAGGGGAAGTCTTGGGTAAGAATGCAGTGTTCACAGCAGTCCGTATGTTTCAGTGTTTGGTTGAGAAATTGGCAGAGCACGGAAGTATTTTATGGAAGTGTATATGAGATTAAAGGGGCAGCGTCTTTTTCTTTCTCCTCCTGTGGAAGGACATACCTGGGGGTGAATGGCTGGAAAGAAAAAAAAATACCTCCAAAATATTGATATTAGAAATAAGTGTGGTTTAAATTTATACCACTGGGTAGAGGGAATGGAGATATCAGAGTGAGGAAGCAAGACATTCTCAGGGATGTCAATGGAGAAGTCAAAGTCAGGGGTCAAAATAAGTTTTTAAACTGACTGTCGGAATTATCTAATTTTTCACTCTCCTACTGTGATCTTACATTTTCTTATAAGTTATAGTTTGAAAACAAAAAGATTTCAACTTGACAGCCACTGCACTGTCTTATTTTGGATTCATCAAATTATATTTTGGCTTATTTAGCATCATGAGAAACTATATAATACAGAAGCAGGGATTTGGCATAGCCGTGTAATTAAGCTTTTTTTCTTTATTTCCTTGTGGTATAGGCAGCATTTTCTGATTTCCTACAGAGAAGCTCTAGAGATCTATCCAAACACGTTAAAGTTGTTGTAAGTACTGAATGTGTTGACTCATCTCATTTGAATATGAATATGTATGCCACAAAAAATGAACCCCAAATACCAGCTTATACTTAGATTAATCAATGCTCTGCACAGACCCACAGAGATCAGTTAGTGTCACTCATTCAGCCAATGTTTATGAGCCTTTAACTATGTGCCGGGCACTGTCTTTATTGCTGGGGATGAAAATAAGTAAGATGATTGGTCTCACTCCTGAATAAACACACAGTTCGGTCATGGAGAACAATATAATAAATGTTGTCATTCAACTGTGGATGTGATAGGGTGGTGGCACAGAGGGAGACATGAAGGCTAACCATGGTGGGGTCAAGAGAAATCTTCAGTAAAGAAATGATGCTGAGCTGGGTCTCCAAGTAGTAAGGGATGCTCAACAAACAAATGTCTTTATTCCAGGATTGTCCGAGAACTTTGCATTTTAGAAAAGTGCTTTGCTCACTCTTTAACCTGGCCATAGTTCTCTTTTTAATCCTCATCTGAGGAAATGGTTTTATTGTTTGAGAGAGAGAGAGAGAGAGAGAGAGAGAGAGAGAGATTGATTCATTGCCTCCCATATGTGTCCCAACCCTAAGGATCAAACTTGCAACCTAGGTATGTGTCCTGACCAGGAATTGAACCTGCAACCTTTTGGTGTGTGGGGTAATATTCCAACCAGCTGAGCCACCCAGGTAGGACCCTGCTCATAATTTTTCATCTCTGAATGGATTCTTTTCTTGGTGCTATTTCTTCCTGAGTCACTATCCCAGGTTTTGACACACACTGCTTGGAGGCGAGAGTAAGGAGAAGTTCTCTTTTCTCTAGGAGATATGTTTTAAAACAGCATATACTTAGTTATTAAGAAATACAGAAAATGTTTTCTCATGGTAATCACGTTAAAAGAAGGAATGAATGTGCTGCACATAATTGTGTAAGTGAAGGCCAAACAAAAGAGAAACATATATAAATGGGAAAGAAGGAATGGGAATCTAACAATGCTTGAATATATCCTGGTAAGATTAAGAATAGAATATGAGACAAGAGGGGGCAGAATGAAAGATATCCATGAAAATAGATAAAGACATATGCGCTTAAGCTAATGGGTATATAGAGGAACACACAGGAGCATAAGAGGATGCAAATTTGTTAATTTTGTGATTCCCAGTAAAACATATGAGACATGAATCCCTGAAATCAGTTGAGACCAGAGACAGAGGCCTTTACCACTAGTGCTAGAACCCTTGGCATCACGTCTCAGTTCTCATGCAGTAAAAATGAAAAGCAGGTATGTTTTAGTAGTTAGAAACTCTTGGAAACGAAAACATTGTCTTCTTAAAGGTAGACACCAGAAAGACACATGGTCCATCGAACTCTTAGGGTCTTCTTTATTTTGATCCTTACTTCAAGCTTCCCCAATTTCTTCAGCTGCCTACATGCCAGCCACAAATGAACTTAGCTGTTCTTTCCATTATTTATCACATTTAGAGGAACATCAACAGCATCTCCCTAGAGAGCCAGTGAGCGGTGGGCAGTGGCCATCTTGAATGACATCCACTGTTCATGTGAGCTGCATTGAAATTAAACTCGGTATACATCCTAACCACTGGAGACTTTTGCTCCCATGCCTGCCAGTCCTCTTGACGATAAATGTCTGATACATGAATGGCTGTCTAGCAGGGATTAAAAGAAGCTTGCAGAAAAGTCAACATGGCAGCCAAATAAGAAAGATTTGATATCAGTAGGTACATGTAATATTTCAGGTGAATTGGTTTATGTGATCATATCTTTTTTTTTAATCATCACCTGAGGATATTTTTTCCTTTTTTTTTTTTTTTAATCCTCACCTGAGGATATTTTTTCCATTGTTTTTCCAAACGTGCGGCCTTGTTTATTTGGCCCGTGTTAGCCTTTGAGTTTGACATGCTTGTTTTAACAGGGAGTATGGAAGGCAGGGAGGGGGAGAGACAGACAGAGAGAGAGAGAGAGAGAGAGAGAGAGAGAGAGAGAGAGAGAGAGAGAGAAACATCTGAGACAAATTGATTGATTGCCTCCTGCATGCTCCCTGACCCAGGGTGAGGAGTGAACCCGCAACCCAGATACATGCCCTTGATGAGGAATAAAACTTTCAATCCTTTGGTGCATGAGCCAGTGCTCTAACCCTTTTCACACCGGCCAGGGTAATCATATCCTTTTTTATGAGGAGAAAAATACAGAAACTAAGTCTGGACATTTGGGATTCAGTCCTAGGTGTCTTTGTGTGAGGTATATGACTGTGGGGGAAATCATCGAACCTTCCAGAAAAGTTTACTTTCTTCATTTAAAACAGGCATAGTAACACATGTCTTTAAAGTTATTGATAATCATGCTGTGACGCAGAGGATATTTCTCCAATGAGGTCACTGTATGCTGTCTTGAGCGTGAGATAGAAAGGATGGAAAGTAAGCTAGCACAATTAGATGTACACATCACAACAGAGCATCTTATCTTTGCCAAGGGTAAAGTCAGTGTTTCTGAGGCAATAGATAATGATCTCTTACATAAATGTAAACTGTGTGTATAAATACTATACCAGAAACGCAGAGGACAGTAACACAAACCTGTATATGGCTTCATTTGCCCTACTTCTGTTTTCTTCTTATTGTGTTGACATCAATATGTAAGCTTGTACACAAGGGCATATTTTACAGGTAAGTATTTTCCTTTGTATGTGAAGTAAAGGAAAAGTTGAAAACTGCTATTCTAAGGAGTTGTAAATTTAAATGCAATAAAATGTAAGGAAGCTGTGTAAAGCATGATACATCATAAGGTGCCCAATCGTCATATAACTTGTTTTAAATAAAATAACATTACTTACAGGCATTTTTTTTCTGAATGCAACAATACTACTTTGCATGCTATTAATGTATCACATTCTATTGTTTTTTTTACTTTTAGCTGCTTACAACACTCAATGTTGATAGTCTAAGATGCCTACTTTTTTTTCCATTGGTGTAGTCATCTATCAACTCATTTCAAGCCCTTAAATAAATTGGGAGACTTCATGTTTGCTTAGTATCAGAGAATATTGTAAAAACACCTTCAATCAATGTCTAGAATATGATTCCTATCTAAATAGCATTTTAAATACTTTATTTAGAACTGTGAGATTTCCTGGAAACAGCTTTTATGAATGCTCAGGAAAATTAAGCTGTATTAAGGTCAGCTGGGAAGAGAGAAAGACACCCTTGACTGCTAGCAACTCCTCCTAAAGAAATCTTTAAAAGTTTGCCCAAAGTTTGTCATGTTTTACTGCTCTCCTCACTGGAGAAAATGATAGGGAAATTTTGTGATGAGGGTGTAAAGAGAGCAAATATAAAAGCAGGCTTTATACCTTTGACATTGGGAAGTCTATATCCATGACTAGTTTTCATCTTTTGACTTTTGTCACCCGGGGTAAATGAGAAAGGGGAATGAAAGATTTTTCTTTGAAAGTCAGAGGATATTCTTGAGGAAAGCCCTAAAGATGAGGGAAGCCACACAAAAAAGTTTGAGACCATGCCGGCCTGAGGCCGTTGAGACCAGGGTCAAGTCCAAACTCCAGTAAAGCAGGTGATCTCAGAAGACCAAAGTCTGTAAGAGATTAACTTTACAAGAGCTAATCACAAATGGAGATAAAGCTAATTTATAATAGATACATTGTGAAAAGCTTGTCTTCCAAACAGTTCTCAAAGTGATGTGGTTAACATTTTCAAAATAAAATTTAATCACAAAAAAACAAACAAAAGAAATCACATTCATGACTATTGTTTGAATCGGAAGACTGTGGGGAAGGTCCCTACTGCCTCAACTTGAGCATCATTCTCCTTAGTCTTTTAAGCATTTCTAGATCTTTTAATGGTGCTACTACAAGACTGAATATCTAATAATCATCTAAGGTTAAGAATGATGGTAGTTCTTGTGTCTGGTAAAGCTCTGAGCAGAATTCATTTTCAGTCATGGTAAAGGGCATTGACTTAAGCAGAGATTGGGCAACGGGAAGATCATGATATGTACTGTTGTCAACCCAGTTTTCTCTGGTCATTTTTTTAGACTTGTGACTACTTAAAAACCCTTGCTTTTTCTGCTTTGATTGTTTCAGTGTGATGGAACAGATCTCACCCCAAAGATTCAGGAACTGAAGTTCCAGTGTATAGTATTTTTAAATATACCCAGGTAAGCTCTGTTCATCTGTTTCCTTGGTTTGACGTGAACTCTATTTGACTTGAGGCTATCTATTTTCATTATAGAACATTTCCAGGTACAAACAATGAAAATCGGTTTTCTCAGTGGCTTACTAAAATTTTCTAGGTTTGATCATTTTATTCTCCTACTTGGTTTGTTTAGTATTCTCTGTGGTAAGTGCTTTTTGTTTCTTTGGGGAAAAATTATTTTTTGTATGATATGGCATTCATGGTCTATACTTATCCATTCTTGAGAACCCCAGGCACCTCTCTGGATTGGAACATTTAATTTAATTGTCAATTTACTGATCCCTCACCCCCCAAGCATCATAGACTTGAACACATTCCTGTCCTCAGTTTCCTGAAAACCATCCAGCCTGATTTCAGGATGGAATTCATTCAGAATCATTGCCAGATGATTGCTTTGACAAAATAGAATCAATTGGAGTAGGATTTTCTAGCCAGGATGTCAACTCACTTTGGTGTTATTATATACGTCAGGAGAAAGGGGTGTTTGAGATGAACTACTCTCAAAATAAGCACATATCTCAGTGGCATAACATTAGATTCTAGGCTCCCAAGCCAAGATGTTGGGAGGGATGGATCTGTGACCTTTGTTATTTGCAAACAAGACAACTCAGACACAAACTCTGCAAATAAGTTCTATTTAGACTGAATTTAATTAAAACAAGAATTGTATATAAATCTGTGGTTAGAAAATGACATTATAGTCCCTTGATTATTTTGGCAGTGCTTGGTATAGTTACTTACAATTCTATTCCAGAAGTATTTTCATCTTAGTTGTTTAAACAGAAAACCTAGAATCTCAGGAAACATTAACTTTCTTTTTCCCCCTCTTTTCTGTACATCTCTCTCTTTCATTTTGCTCCTTTCCCTTCTCCCTTCTGGATTCCTAGTCCTCACCTTTTCCATTTTTTTTTTATTTCCCTTCCCCTTTCTAATACATTTTTTCATCCCTTCTTCACCCTTTCTTTCTTCTTCAGATAACCTTTCTCTTGTGTTGTGAGTGCTTATTCTCTTGGTTATGTATACAATATTGTTTTGTAGGTATTTATTCTCTTAGTTATGTATATAATATTGATTGCGTACTCACTTCAGTTCCCTTCCCTTTTTCTACTGGCTGGCATGCATCTGTCTTCCTCCAAGGCCAAATTCTGAAACCAACCATTGATAACTCATGGCATATCATAGAAAGCAGACATATGTGGACCATAGAGTGATAGTATTGATAAATAACTAATTAGGAGAACATTAGGCATCGTGAAATGCGTTTGTTGTAAGATCATGCTCATTTTCAGATTGATATTTTGAAGATGATGGTGAGTCCATTTCCTTTTCCTTTGGAAGATGTGCACCAAGAACAGAAAACTGTTCTTCCACGAAATAAACATTGGATCTAACTACTATAAGTTCATCCCTAATGATGGTCATGAGAGGAATGGAATAAATTTAATTCTTCTCTTAATCTTACCTTGCAGATATTGTGCTGGCACAATGCCCTGGGGGAACCCAGGGGATCACCATGATTTTGAACCTCAGCGTCATGATGATGGCTATATTGAAGTTATTGGATTCACCATGGCCTCTTTGGTGAGCAGTACAACCATTAGAGAGAGATAAATACCATATTATCTCACTTATATGTAGAGTCTAATGAACAAAATAAACTGATGAACAAAGTAGAAACAGAGGCATGGATACATAGAACAGACTGACAGCTGTTAGTGGAAAGGACTGGATGCAAGAAGGTGAAGGGATTAGCCAAATAACATATAGGCATAATCCATAGACAGACAACAGTGTGGTGATGGCCAGGGGGAAGGGGGGCCCGGGCTGGGTAGAGGTGGGCAAAGGCTGGTAAATAAAGTAAAATAAATAAATAAATAAATAAATACAATGTATTTTAGCCACAGTTAGAGTTTTTCCATTTCATAGGACTTTGGTATAATTTCTTCTTTATCAATTTATAAACTTTATGCAACATCAAGTTGCTTGCAGAAAGCCAGGACACAAATTAATTCTTAATGTCACTAAGAAAATTGATTCACATTTGTTTGAGCTTCAAAAATAAATATTTGTTAGTTTTCCTAATTAACTTTCTACCAGAAAAAACTGCAAAGTGTTCATGTTAATTAAAAAGCATTATGTCACAGACATATCCCAGCATGATGCAGAAACCTTGCCATTTGATATTTTTAGGTGTAAAGGAAAGTGGTCATTTGCATATATTTTCAACTTTTCTTTTTATGTATAAGATGGGTGTCTCCTTTATTACAAAATTCTTGAATATAGAATGGCATCACTTTTGTGACATTAATTAATATTCAATTTCCACAGTATTGAGATCACCTTGTATTTTCATTTTGCTTGCTTGAGTACAAAATACGTTTATATCAAGTAAGTGTAATTTCAAGCAGGTTTTAGCTTGTGGTCCAACTTATTTAATGATGAGGAAACCAATTAAAATAATGCTTATCATTATAGCTGGTGTAAATCAGACCACACTATTAGTTTATAAAACAAATTAAAATAAAGCTTCTACTTGCTACCCTTGGTTAGTACTTGGTTTGTGCTAAGCCAGTGGTCAGCAAACTCATTAGTCAACGGAGCCAAATATCAACAGTACAACGATTGAAATTTCTTTTGAGAGCCAAATTTTTTAAACTTAAACTATATAGGTAGGTACATTGTTATTAACTTAATTAGGGTACTCCTAAGCTGGCCTTTGCTAAAAATGTCCTCAATCTGAGGGGTCGACCTCAGCAAACGTACCCCCATTTCTTCTAATGCCACTTCTTCAAAATAGACTTGCCCAGGCCGAAAACCAACTTCTGCGCATGGGCCATGAAGTTTCAATCGCACTGTACGTGCGCGCCCGCACGTGGTATTTTGTGGAAGAGCCACACTCAAGGGGCCAAAGAGCTGCATGTGGCTCACGAACCACGGTTTGCTGACCACTGTGCTATACCTTATGCTTGAAAGCAAGCAGCTTGTATTCCCTGTCCTAAACAAACTAGAACAGCCCTCTTTTTTACTCCTCTCATGGATTCCAATCACTTCAAAATACTGAGACTTAACAGAATAACTTATTGTGACTCTGGCAACAATACCCATTACCGGAGATAGTGATGTTGTCATATTTAGAATGAAATGGTTGTTAAGTGTAAAATATTGGTCTGGGATTGATCTAATTTTCAGGACTGTAGCGCATGCACAGCTCTTTCTCTCAAAAGATCTTTATGTTAATTATAGGAGAAGACTCAGTCAGCCAGGAGCAAGTAGGAATAAAGTTCAAGATGGACATGTGCAAGGACGGATTATTGGAGTTGACCAAAAATGCCCCAAACCTGGCCATGTGTGCTTTACTCATTCATGTATTCACTGGTTTAGTGAACATTTCTTTTTTTTTTTTAATATATTTTATTGATTTTTTACAGAGGAAGGAAGAGAGATAGAGAGTTAGAAACATCGATGGGAGAGAGACATCGATCAGCTGCCTCCTGCACATCTCCTACTGGGGATGTGCCCACAACCCAGGTACATGTCCTTGACCGGTATCGAACCCGGGACCTTTCAGTCCGCAGGCCGACGCTCTATCCACTGAGCCAAACCGGTTTCGGCGTGAACATTTCTTGAATGTGTACCATGTGCCAGGGCTTTCTAGTCCCAACTGTGTGGTAGAAAGCTGCCAGGGAATAATTATCTAAGAGAAGGTGATTGCTTACCTAGGCTTGGGAGGGCAGGGAGAATATTAGACACTTCACCATTGCTCTCAGGATCAAAATCTAAATCTTTTCTTGGCCCTGCAAGGTTGCGTTTCTCTTCGATTCTCCTGCCGTCCCCACTGCCCTCTTTGTTTTCTTCCTAAGTAGCCTCTGTAGCTTTGGGACATTCCTTGCTGCTTTTGCACCACAAGGCCATTGCACATGCTATCACTCTCTGAAACATTCTTTACTCGTCATCTTCTGTAGCTTTTCAGTCCATATCTGTGTCTGTTTTTTCATTAGTCTTTTGGGGTCTGGGTTGTTTTTGCTTTTAATTGTTTAGTTAGCATCTGAACAAGGAAGAAAAGTCAGACTAAAATTGGGTAATTAGAGGAGAGTTCAAGGGAGGGACTCTACAAATTGTGCACTAGGTTTATGAGAAGCAACGCATGGCGCTGTATTCCTGAGCTGAAGGTGCAAAAGCAAGTAAGCAGTCACCTCTACCAGAAAGAGAACTGTTTGGCAAGGATCACCCGAAAGTCATATTTGCTAAGTAGAAGCAACTAGCCTGTGCCAACCTGGCAGGGAGGGAGCTGGGACAGAAAATACAGTGATCTCACTCTTCTCATTCTCCAGACCTCCTGCTGGTGCTTCCCCAGGGGGAAGTTTACCCAGAAGCTAGAGGACAGAGGAACCACTGATACAGTGGAAATGGGTCGGTCTCACAGGGTCAGAAGAGGGCCAAGAAGGGTAGAGTGCCGGCGGCAGGGAGTGGCGAATGCTAGATATCCATCACTCCAGTGTATCCTTCCCTGGCACACAGCAGAGAGCCTGCTACCTGTAGTTGACAATGAGTAAATGTGACAGAATGGATGAATTTTGCCAGGAGAAGCAGCATGGAACTTGGCATTCTTGAAAAAAGGGAAATTTATATACACTTGGAAGTATGAGAGAGCATAGTCCTCTGTGGGAGTGATAATTAGCTTCATGTAGTGTAAATGTAGGTGAAAAGTGAGAATGATAGATGATGCTGAAGAGGCAGGCCCGGGCCAGATCATGGAGTGCATTACAGAGTTTATGTAGGAGTTCTGACTTTATTTCAAGGTTCCTGGGGAATTATTAAGTGTGCTTTTAAAATATTTGTTGTGGGGAAAGTTCAATATAAACAAAGATGAAATAATATGTTGAATCCTCAGGTACCATCACTTAACTTCTATAATTATCAATTCATGGTCAGTATTATTTCTGTCCCCACCTATAACCTCCTTCCTTATATTATTTTGAAGAAAATCTCAGGAATTATATAATTTTATCTGTAAATATTTTTGAATGCATTTTAAAAACGTAAGACTTTTCTTTATGAACATAATCACATAATCTTCTCTAAAAAACATTAAAATAGTAGCATTTGACTACCACTAAATATCTACTCACTGCTCAAATTTCCAATTGTCTCACATATGCTTTTTGTTTTCTTATTCTATTTGTTTGAATCAGAATCCAAATAAAATTCATTCATTGTGCCGAAACCGGTTTGGCTCAGTGGATAGAGCGTTGGCCTGCGGACTGAAAGGTCCCAGGTTCGATTCCGGTCAAGGGCATGTACCTGGGTTGCGGGCACGTCCCCGGGTTGCGGGCACGTCCCCAGTAGGGGATGTGCAGGAGGCGGCTGGTCGATGTTTCTCTCTCATCGATGTTTCTAACTCTCTATCTCTCTCCCTTCCTCTCTGTGGAAAATCAATAAAATATATTTAAAAAAAAAAATTCATTCATTGTGATTGGTTGATATGACTCTTAAGTCTCTGTAAGTCCCCACCCATCTCTTTCCCCCCCATTGAGTTGTTGAAGAAACCAGACTATCCTGTAAAGTTTCCTGGAGTCAGAATTGTGCTGATAACCATGAGGTATCAATTAACATGTTCTCTCGTCCTTGTTTCCTCTAAGTTGATAGTTGGATCTAGATGAATCAGACATCCCTCGTACCCCACTGCAAAACTATTTTGTAGATAGTATTTTCTTTTTCCAAAATAGCAAGGTGATGTCTGGTTATCTCTCTGTTTTTAAATAGTCTTTGATGATCAATATCTGGATCCACCATTCACTGGGAGTTGAAAAAATGATATTCTAATTTTATCTTCCTCATTTAGTGATTGGAATCTATATATATAAAAGCTTAATTGACCGTTACCACCAGTCAACCGAACGACAGGTCGACTGGTTGCTATGACACACACTGACCACCAGGGGATAGACGCTCAATGCAGGAGCTGCCCCTTGGTGGTCAGTCTGCTCCCACAGCCAACCTCCTGTGGCTGGCCAATCTCCCCAATTGGGACTGGTTGAGATGGCCCCAATCAGCCCTGATTGCCAGCCAGGCTGAAGGACCCCACCCGTGCATGAATTCATCCACTGGGCCTCTAGTATTTTTATAAAGGGAAATTTCTCTTCACCTATTATTTTGTTACTTCTTTATATAGTTTGTGTCAGAAAAGCAGAATAAGTGATCCTTTTCTTTATTTGTGCATTTTAAAATAATAAGTTAGATCACTATCATCCTCTGATGGTTACTGGGGTTATAGAATGACCTCAGATTTTAGGCACTTCTCCTATCAAGAGTCTGGGTCTGTGTACCCTCCCCTTGAATCTGGGTGGACTTGTGAATACTTGTGAAATTGAATACAGTGGAAGTGCTTCTGTATAACTTTTGAGGCTGGACCATTAAAAATTAATTCAGTGTATGTGAAACATGAGCAATATTAATGGTCTCTAATTAATAGGAACTTTATAAATTCAGGGTAATTATTTTTTAAAATGTCTCACTGCTTCATTCATTTAATATCAGTCATGAATGTTTATTGAAAATTTGTTGAACCCACAAATACATTA